AGAATAAGGTGTAGTGGTGAGATTTATTGGAGCAATATCTAAGGACTTCCTCCAAATGCTCAGTGTCTCATTCACAACCAAACAGATGGATCAGCTCCATTCTGCTATGGAAGAAGTCCAGCATTCTCTTCCCCAAGCCCAGAGAAAGTACCAGTATCCAGAGATTCTGCGCCTTTGGCCCAGCATCGGCAATTCAGTCCAGTCAATGCCAAAGTTTAATCCAGTTCAGTCTCTGTCCCCATACAGCTAGTTTAGTCTCTGTTCTTGGACTCACTCCAGCTGGTGCTTAGAGCTGTGCTTGGAGCCTGACCATAGACCTGTATGGCTGCAAGAAGAGACAATATGTAAACAAATGGGGAAACGCACAAACGAACAGGTGCTACTGAGATGGGCCTTTGTTAAGCTTTGATTATATTACCTAGGGCTTGAGAGTGGTTGGGCTTTTTTTTTTTTTTCCAAACAAACCAATCTTTTTCCTGGCTCTTTGTGGGCTTGTTTTGTATCCTCCCTATATCCAATTTGATCTTTTTCCCAGGCTAGAGACCTCCTCTTTATGGCCACCATCTTACGTCATGGTAAGGTATCTGAAGCTGTAAGTTCCAGACCTAAGCCTGATTAAGTATAACTTCCACTGAGTCAGGCTCAAACAGTCTAGCTCCCTTCTCTTTTGTTAACTCCTAGCTGGTTACATTAACACTGTGACTCTCTGCTAAGATATATGTAGTGACTAAATATATCTTCTAAAATCCACAAGACTTAATAGATGATTTTTCCAAAAAAAAGGAATAATTTTATCCACAATTGAACATGTTTAATGACATCTCAGATTTCTTCAAATAAGAAACTCATGTGAAGTGAATGTTGATCTGAGGGTTCATTTCTCATTCTAATTCTGTCTCTGACAAGTGGTATCTGAACAAGTCAGTATATGTGGTCTCTGAAAATAGAGCGGCTCTCATGACCCCCTTCTCAGAGGCTTTATCCTGAAGTCCTAAGAATTTCATTCTTTCCTCTTGGTCAACCATGTACTTCCTCATGAGGCTAAGAGATGGGTGCCTGCTGGGAAATGATGCTGTGACAGACACACAATGGTGAGCCTCTGCAGAGGAAATACCGGAGTGCTTCCAATGACCAGGAGCCATGTTAAATGCAATTTGTGCTTGTTTCCTTATTTTATTTCATGTAAATGATGGAAGAATTTGCAGAGTTTTGCACACTAGTGTAAGTTGAAATTAAATCAACTTTGAACTCTCTTTTAACTCCTAAACTAAAAAATACATTTTGTTTTTCCTGCAGTATACCAAGATTCATTATTAAATATTGTTTTCCAGATGTTAATCTTGGCTACAATTAATTGTATTTAGGACATGGTTAATCATGTCCCAAGGCATCTTAATGGTTCCTGGAAAAGAAATATCTGCTAGAACGCCTCACTTGTCAAATTTATCAGGAAAGCACAGCCAGCACAAACTTCTATGCACCAATTGTTAAGAAGAAACACTGAAGGAAATAAATATCTCTGCTTTATGGCACATTACAAATGCATCACATCTGCAGTGATTTACCTATCCCCTATATTGTTCATCCCCCAAGCCATGAATTCAGTAAATATTTGTGGAATACAGGCATGAGCTGGACAATTGTAGCCCAACTCCATCAAATATAATAGAAGAGTGGGCACTCATTATATTTTAGTTCAGATATCTCATATCTGATCACTTAATTCAAAACCACTTTAAAGTTAACACTTCTTTTTTGGCTTCCTTTAGACCTCAAGTGATCACTGTCTCAGAGAGAAACTGAATGAGATAATAGCACACTATAGAAGTACAGAAGTGATAGGGACTCTTCCACTTTGTTATAGGATTTTGTTACCAAACAGAAAGGGTTTGTCCCAGAACCAAACACTGAACACTGGGAAATGCAGTGAAGAAAGACTATTTTATTAGGAATGGTGCCACCTAGGAGAATGAGAAGCTAATGCTCAAAAGCCCAATCTCCTCGATGTAGTGCAGGTTACAGATTACACAGGGCAAGTCACAAGACACTGCAGAGGGGTTGGGAGCTGAGTGGTTGAAGGTGAGGTAAGCGTAATAAATCATTGTTTCATGTCTTGAGGACAGTTCTAAGGTCTGTTCCAGCTTCCCTCTGTCTGGTTTCATTGGGAAGTAACCAGCTGTAGGAGCTGAAACAATTACTTAGGTCAAGATGCTGTCTTTAGCCTGCCAAAATTCCAGACCTTGTGATCATTAGTCAGGTCCAGGTTACTGTCTTCTGCTATCTCAGGCATTGCTGATTATCCTGGAGAAAGACTAGGTCTCTGAGTGGTATATATACATATAGATAGAGAGAAGGGTGATTTCTAGAGCTAGGATTTAAAGCTAAACTGAATCAAAGTCACGAGGAATATCCCCAGCTCAGGGAGAGGAGGGGCAGCTGGCAAACATGAGGTCAGTCTTCTCTTCTGTGTTTCAGTCTGCCCTGGTCTCTGAAAATGTGGCTCCTGGAACTCCACCCCATTCTCTAGACTGTCTGATCAGCCTGGAGAGGAGACTTGCCATTATTCAGTGAATGTAGCTTCAGGGGATGGTAACTTATTTTAGCAACCTTACTTAGTGATATTAACCTTGCAGTCAATGCAACTTCCCAATTTTCTCAGAAGACAATTGGTAAATCAACTTCTTTTAATCCAAAAATGATCAGTCTTTTATTTTTTTTTAAGATTTTATTTATTTATTTTTAGGGAGGGAAGGGAGAGAGAGAGAGAAACATCAATGTGTGGTTGCTGGGGGTTATGGCCTGCAACCCAGGAATGTACCCTGGCTGGGAATCGAACCTGGGACACTTTGGTTCCCAGCCCGCGCTCAATCCACTGAGCTACGCCAGCCAGGGTTCAGTCTTTTATTTTTGTTAACTTATTGGACTCCCCAGTGTTTTATTACTGGTCCCTGTTACACTTATGGAACCCTATTTCTAACACTCAACAGATGGGTGGTCATAGGCCAGCTACTTATCTCTCTGTGCTTCAGATTCCTTACTTATAAATTGGAAGTGTTGATTAGTGTCTATCTCATAAGGTTTATGAGGATGAGATGAGTTAATTCATGTGAAGTAGCCAGAACAATGGCTGGCACATCAGTACTTAATAAATGTTAGTTGTCATTATCCTCACAATCTATCAAAGTTTCTCATGATTATATCACAAACACCCCCGCCTAGTGAGAATTTGTCATTAAGCAAACTGTGGAACACAGAATAGGTTTAGGGAAGTGGTTTGCTAAATGCAAGGAAAGGCAGGGACTCAAAAGAAAGGGAAGGTAGGATGGGGTTGAGTAAAGAAGGGGCGTAGGCCCTGTAGCCCCACTTAAAATAGATTCTTCTCTTTGTCCTTTATATTCTATTTCTGGAAATGTCTCATGTGAAGAAACAGTTCTACTTTAGGGAAAAGTAATCTTGGCCAAGCTGCTAATGAAGGTAATGTCCTATGCCCTGCAAACCACATTTAGTTCAGCAAAGCCTCACTGGAGGTAATGCCTACTGTGTCCAGAGCTCTTGCTATCCACTGGGGGGAAAGGAATAAGTCTTGTTCTCTGCTTCCACACCATTCGTGATATAATAGGTGGTCTGTCCCCTCAGATAGTCTACCATGTATGCTGTGGCAGAGGAAGTGGGCCTTGAAGGCTTCTTGGAGGAGGAGGTTTGTGAGGAGGGTGACAGGCAGAGAGATGAACAGGAGGGGAGCCCAGGGTGTGAGGGAGGAGCATCCATCCTCAAGCTCCACCCTGATCAGATAACACAGATGACACTCAAATTCCAGGCTTCACTCTGGTTTAACTACTTCACAGGGGATGGAAAGGGAAGAGAGTGGAGACCAACTATGCCACATAGAGGAGTTTTACCTTTTTGCCCAGGTTTTGGAGCACAAGAATGATATAATCATAGCTGTGTTTTAGGAGCATACATGTGACACCAGCACACCTTTAATTAGTGGTGCAAGACACTTGGAGGCACAAAGGGATAGTGAGACTCTGAATTAAAATAATCTCTAAACAGAATTAGTTCTTAGTAATCATTTTCAACCTTATTAGAGCAGGTTGGGCCTTCTTATATTTTGTTATTGCTGTACTGAGGAATCTTTCTAAGAAAAAAAAGGCTATGGCACACTGCTGCCATTTGGAAGCCTGCATTTTTAAAGGGTATAATACACAGTGACAGTTTTGAGGTATGCCAGTGGGTGTGGGTCCCAATCACTGTTCTCTGCCTGCATAATTTAAAATGACAATTTAACCTGTCAAAAAATGTGAGTGAAGTTCCTTGGATATTTATAAAACATAGAATCATGTCCGTAAATGATGGTTTGTTTGTTTGTTTTTTTAAACTAAATTACAGAAAGATATTTGGATAATAGTTGCTGGCAACTCACCTGTAAGCCGTACTTCCAGCCACGTAAAAATCTGGTGGTCCATAGTTTTTAATGTATTTTCTTGCCCATTACTGAATAAACAAAAGGATATCACAGGACGCTAGCTCAAATTGTAGGCAAAGGTTGAGAGGCAGGACAATGACACAATTTTTGTTTTGTTTTATAATGTATTAACAAACCAATGGTTTCAGGTTCCCTTGAGAAAGTGGAAGTTACCCATGCAAATAAGGTGTTAGTCGGCAGACCTAGTTCACTATTAGCTTTTAGCCCTCTGCCCAGACACGTTCAGGCCTGCCAACTTTAGAGTTTGGGTATTTTTTACCTGTAACTTTAGACGCTTTCTGCACGTTTCAGTAGATATATGCCTAAGAAACTGGGTGTGTACACGAGTTTTTGTGACTCTGCTAAAGCTTAAATACTTTAAAACTGGGCAGAACTCAATGCAGAGGGAGCACTCTAATCAGCACAGCAACGTAGGCGGAGTCAGGTCTGAGCTCAGCTCTGGAGGCGTCCCTCTAGTGGGTCTGTCCCTTGGCCTCACCTCCCGGCGCTGAGCTCTGACGTCACCGCCTGCGCCGCCCAGCAAAAACAGGAAGTAGGACCAAAACAAAGGGGCAGCAAGGCCGGGCAGACCTCCAGTCTTCCTTCCTTCAACACTCGTCTCCGCCCTCACCGCCCGCCCCGAGGAGCCATTCAACTATGTCTAATATGGAGAAACACCTGTTCAACTTAAAGTTTGCAGCCAAAGAACTGAGCAGAAGTGCCAAAAAATGCGACAAGGAGGAAAAGGCCGAAAAGGCCAAAATTAAAAAGGCCATTCAGAAGGGCAACATGGAAGTTGCAAGGATACATGCTGAAAACGCCATTCGCCAGAAGAACCAAGCGGTGAATTTCTTGAGAATGAGTGCGCGGGTCGATGCCGTGGCTGCCAGAGTCCAAACGGCGGTGACGATGGGCAAGGTGACCAAGTCAATGGCTGGAGTGGTTAAGTCGATGGATGCGACGTTGAAAACCATGAATCTGGAGAAGATCTCTGCCTTGATGGACAAATTCGAGCACCAGTTTGAGACGCTGGACGTCCAGACGCAGCAAATGGAAGACACGATGAGCAGCACCACGACGCTAACCACTCCCCAAAACCAAGTGGATATGCTGCTCCAGGAAATGGCAGACGAAGCCGGCCTGGACCTCAACATGGAGCTGCCGCAGGGGCAGACCGGTTCCGTGGGCACAAGTGTGGCCTCCGCGGAACAGGATGAACTATCACAGAGACTGGCCCGCCTGCGAGACCAAGTGTGACAACAGAACTCACTCTGAGGTTTCATGCCTGTAGCTACTTTTTGAAATGTTCTGTGTATATTAGAGAGATACTATACACTAAAAACTTTGAATATGCCAGAATGCTGAAATGCTCTTAAGATGCTTCTACCTTTGGGTTTACAGTGTTCTTAGATACGTTAAGGAATTCTAAGCTTTCCCCACCCTTAACTGGATTTTAAAGTTCTGTATAGCCTATGATGTGTATTTTTATAGCTACATTTTAACAAGATTAGTTAATCTGGTGTATATGATTCTGTCTCAAAAATTAGATCACATCTCTAGTTCCCGTGTATACAGTTTTCTGCCCGAATTGTCAAAATTGAAGGGTGTTTTTAATTTAGTGAAATTGAAAGTATACAAAATTGGCATATGGTGCATAAAAATTAAAGAGGAGAATGATTGCTTTGATTACAGAGCTATCAATACCTCATTCAACTTACGGACTGTGCTATTTCTGTGTATCGTTTATTTTTTGCCATCAAAACGGGACTACAGTTGACTATTAATCTGTTTTCATAACATTAAAATTACTTTAGGACAGTCTTGTGTAATACCCTCTTATTGTTTACATTGGGTAAATTTTTTGTATGGTAGTTGTCTTTTATAACAAAAAAAATATGCCATGTAACTTCCATTATAAGGAAAAAGTGTTTGATTGCTTTTTTATTTGTTAAAGAGTTTTTTAAAAGATTTACAGGGTTTAACATATGGCATTTCTTTCAAATGAACTTCTCTAACATTTCTAGCTATTTTCCTATTTCAGCACTTTAATTAGACTTCTTACAAAAATATGTTGATTACCATGTCAGTCACATAACTCACTCTAACATTGCCAAAGAACTGTTGGTTGGATTGAGGAAATCCTGGGACTGTGTGTTTGTAGGTTTTCTTTTGATTTTAACAACCAAAAATAGAAATAAAATTAGAATAGCATTTAACATTCTAGTTATCTGCATTTATCATGTTCTAAAACAACTCATTTAAAAATTCTTGGCAGTATAAGTTGGAATGTTTTACTTAGCCATGCAGGCAGCTGAAAGTCAGGGAAGAAGGAAAGATGCAGGATTGAACAGCATGCTTGACCCTCTAAGGCTAGAGCCTAGCTGTGCTGCCTTCCACCTTTCTGGAATGGCAGTGTGTATTTCTGGCTGAAAAGGAAAACCTGTAGCCTCAAAACATGAAGAACATCAGTTTGCTTTTGTGTTGGCAGGTATGTTAATCTAAGTTAAGTACTTGTGGATATTTAAAATTCCTCTTTTCCTTCACTGGAAGATTTCTCCGTAAGAGAATTCCAGTGTTCCAGAAAATAATTATAGGGACTCTCCCAGGCCCTTTGAAAGATTCACCATTATAACATGTTTTCCAGGGCAAACAAGTGTGTTTAAGGGGGAAAAACATGTGCAGATGAGAACTGATCTTCATATTTAAGTATCTTTATATCTGACTGGTGGTTGTTCTGAAGTCTTCTGTAAGGGACACCTATCCATTGTCTGCCCCACATCTTTCTAAAATTCCTCCCCTTTTTGTGTCCTATCCAGGTGATTTCACAAAGGCAGCTGTGTGAGAACAGCAAGAGTAACCCCTCTTGAGACTGAAAAAAATAATTAAAACTTGGAAAATAGCTTAGTGTTGAACCCTTTTGTAAATTGAAGACCCTTTTATAATATAAATATTCCCAACAATATTAATATATTTTATGAGATTAAATAATGCTTAAATAAGCTTGGGCATTCTTAAAATATGTTCATTTCAAACTATATAAATGTATATTTTCAGGAACCATAAACATTACTTCAGAAACATTAGACCTATGAATTATTTTCTCATTTTTGCAGTTGGTGAAATGCTGAAATGCGAACCACAGAAGTTTGTCAAATAAATTATTTTAAATTGTAGGTTACTGCATATGTTTGTGCATACTGTTTTAAAAACTTTTAAAAAATTAATTCAGAGGTAGGTTTGGTTCAGAAAGCATGGTGATTTTCCCAAGCTCACCCTTACCACCTGAATTTCTGTTCAGTTAGCATAGAATTTTCATGCACAGTTCTAGAAGCCCTATTACTAGTTCTTTACTATAATAGTTTCTTCAAGTCAACAAGATACTTCCTCATACTGAAACTTCCCCAGGCTACAAATAGATATAGTTTTCAAAAAGATCGAACTCAAACATACCAAGGAAATATTAAGTAATCTTCCATGTAACTACTAGTAGTTTTTATTTGTATCTTTTTATTTTCCTGCCTGCAAATGTACAGTTCCCAACATGGTCCTAGGATAAATTTTTAGTTATTTATGAACTGTTTATTTCAGTTCAGATGATATGAACTTTACTGGAGAACTTTCTTACTAAAGCTATTTCTTCTTGATGGAATGTTAATGCATGTATGTGCCTTTTAAATAGAAATGTACAATGAGTCTTGGTTGCTTTGTGCCTACCCAGCTGTCCTTGATTTGGAAAAGAGCCACCTAAAATAAGCACCACTGTGATAACCTTACTAATTAAATACAGTCTCAGGGTCAGCCAGACATTCTCACATTGTGAAACAGAAGTGAGGGACCTTCTGTTTTAGATTCTTTCTTTGCAATATGCACAACACCCTCTTGGAAGTGTTTCTGTAGCCAAAATCCAAAGCTCAAGACTTTCAGTACTATTGACAAAAAGCCACAAGCCGGTGGACATTGAACAAACTGATGAGCAGGGCCCTGTCTTTTTTTTTTTTTCCTTACAATCACTGGGCATTAGAAAAAATCCTGCCTGGTTTATCTAGGTTGGATTTTCTATAACTAGATGCTAAGTTCCATAAGGAGAAGGACTGACAGTGTCTTTCTTAATGACAATTTCTGGGCCTAGTGTGATTGGTCCCCAGCTCAGTGTGCTCCTGCTAGTGTCTTCGTGTGAATGCATACCTCCCTCATAATCATGACTAAGGCTCTCTAATGACTATGTACACAGTGGGTAAGGTGGGTGCAGTGGGAACATGGCCAGAGCCCCATTATATTCCCTCAGAACACTTGTGTCCTTTTCCTTCATAGCATTCTTCCAACTTGAAATATTTGCTCCTGCTCTTGAGGGTTTATACATCCTCCCTCCTAAATAGTGTCAGGACAAACCAGCAGTGTTTATTCAGAATGATTGATTACAATAAAAGATTTAGGCTAAAATATATCAGGTGCTGGTTATCTTAGGTGTCTTTCTAGAAATCAAAGACATGCTTCTGCCTTAAGTGGCACTCAATGCAGTTATGTAGATAAGGCATACATATTAAAAGAAAAATGGACATGAGTGTATACAGATGTAAAAAATTCATCCAGATGAACACAAGAGTAGTGCATTTTACACATTGTGTTTTATACCTCAACTTTTAAAAACATTAAATCACAGTATAAGGCAGTATATCATGCTAATTAAGTCATGAAATAGTAAGTACATGAATAGAAATACAGTATCTGTGGTTGTTAGAATTGAATTTAATCTGGGGCTTCAAAGAAAAACAAGTGGGAATTACACAAAGGTCAGAGGCCAAAAACTACATGGGATTTGACTGGAGTGGAGGGTTTAGCAGCAAACAGTGAAGAAGAAAGAGATCAGGCACATTGTGAATGGCTTGGAGGCCATATTAAAAGTGTGGACTTTACCCTAAGGAAAGGAGCAGGAGCATGAATCACAGAAACTTATTGTCCAGATGAAAAGAAATTAGAGCCTAGAGTTGGATGGCAGTAAAAATGGAGGAAAAAAGATACAGTGCTTCTCACACTGATACGTGCATGAACTACTGTTTCACCTGGGGATATGGTTCAGCTGCAAATTCTGCAGATGCTGCTACAGAATCTTTTAAGTGTTACCAGATTAAATGGGTCCATTTGCCTGCATGCTTCAAAGCCAAAACAAAACTTGAACAGCAGCTTGAAACAAAGAAAGTGAAGGTTTGTTATTTGTGGTGCTATGCTCAAAGTAACAGGTGAGCTAATGCTCAAAGACCTGGCTTCCCAATGGCTTCTAGGGGATGGATTTATATATGGGGGGATCATTAATCATGGTGACTACGGGAGTTAGGGTTGTGATCTCTCTTGATTGGTCAGTGCTAAGGTAGAGGGTAGTTGATCATTGCATCCCATCCTGATGTCAGCCATGTTCTCATTCTGTCTGGTTTCACAAAGATTTGGTCAGTGGGATACTGCATTTTTCTGGTCCTGGAGCTGAAACAACAGGTTTAGATATTTTCCTTGGTGGTAATAGACCCCACCCAGGCTTTGTTCTTAAGATTATTTGATGCCAACCAGAACCTCCTTGTTCTGAGGGCTTAATGATTAAGGGAATGGTTGTGTAAGGGAGAGGAAGGTGTTGTGAGTCAGGGTTTTGGATGAGGCCAGTCTACATCAAGAGGAGAAAATGTCAGATTAAAGAAAATGGGGTTTCTGCATGGTTACATAAGTAGCTTGGATCTTAACCTGCTGCTCATTAGAATTGCCTGGTACTTTGTCACTCCACAGTATCATGAAAATAAGGATCATGAAATCAATTGCAATAACAGAAAAGTTTTTACTTACCTTGACAGAGTTACAACTTGCTAAATTTTTCACAAAAGATATCATTTAAAATATTTAAGCCAATATATACATTTAAAAAAATGATTCTTAAGTCATCTAAGACTTACAGCCAAAACAGAGGTGTGGGTAGATATACTCTGCCTCCTCGCATAACCAAAAGAAGGCAATAAAACGTTTAAAAACCAAAAATAACCAGAACTGCCAGAAAATCGAACTGTATGGAAATCTGACAACCAAGGAGTTAAAGAAGAAACATTCATCCGGACTGGTAGGAGGGACAGAAATGGGCAGCCAGGGTGGAGAGGACACACAGCAAGGCAGTGTCTGGAGGATGGAATGGGCAAGGTGGTGGCTGGCAGACCAGGTGGTCCCACAGTTGCATGCAGATAAACTGGGAGGAACAACTTGGGGGGAGGCGGGGCAAGACAGACCACACAACCCAGGGTTCCAGCTCGGAAAAAGAAAGCCTCAAAACCTCTGGATGGAAAAACCTGTGGGAGTTGCAGCAGCAGGAGAAACTCCTACCCTCACAGGAGAATTCGTTCAAGAGGCCCACAGGGTCCTAGAACATCACAAACCCACCCACCCAGGAATCAGCAACAGAAGGGCCCAATTTCCTTGTGTGTCGCAGGGGAAGTGACTGAAAGCCAGCCAAGAGCTGAGCAAGTGTCACTGTTCCCTCTTAACCCTTCCCCTACTATATGAGCCACAGTGCAGTGGGTTGCCCTGCCCTGACAAATATCTAAGATGTTCCACCACTTACAATGTAACACATGTGCTAAGATGAAGAAATATGGCCCAAATGAAAAAACAGAACAAAACTCAAAAAATAGATCTAAGCAATGAAGAGATAGCCAACATATCTGATGCAGATTTCAAAACACTGGTAATCAGGATGCCCACAGAAATGGTTGAATATGGTTGCAAAATAGAGGAAAAAGTGAAATAAAGAAAAATATACATGGAACCAACAGTGAAGGGAAGGAAACCAGGACTCAAATCATCTGTTTGGAGCAGAAGGAAGAAAGAAACATTCAACCAGAACAAAATGAAGAAATAAGAATTCAAAAAAATGAGGAGAGGCTTAGGAACCTCCAGGACATCTTTAAATGTTCCAACATCCATATCATAGGCATGCCAGAAGGAGAAGAGAAAGAGCAAGAAACTGAAAACTTAATTGAACAAATAATGAAAGAGAACTTTCCCAATCTGCTAAAGGAAATAGATTTCCAGGGAGCTCAGAGAGTCCCAAAGAAGCTGGATCCAAGGAAGCACACACCAAGGCACATCATCATTACATTACCCAAGATTAAAGATAAGGAAAGAATCTTAAAAGCAGCAGGAGAAATGGAGAGAGTTACCTACAAAGGTGTTCTTGTAAGACTATCAGCTGATTTCTTAAAAGAAACCTTGCAGACAAGAAGGGGCTGGAAAGAAGTATTCAAAGTCATGAAAGACAAGGATCTACATCCAAGATTACTCTATCCAGCAGAGCTATCATTTAGAATGGAAGGGCAGATCAAGTGCTTCCCAGATAAGGTCAAGTTCAAGGGGTTCATCATCACCAAGCTTTTATTATATGAAATGTTAAAGGGATTTATCTAAGAAAAAGATGATCAAAACTATGAACAGTAAAATGACAACAACAAACTCACAACTACCAACAACTGAACCTAAAAAAAAAGAAAAAGGAAAACAAACCGAACAACTAGAACAGGAACAGAATCACAGAAAGGGAGATCACATGGAGGGTTATCAGCAGGGCAGGAGAGGAGGGAGAACAGAGGAAAAGGTACAGGGAATAAGAAGCATAAATGGTAGGTAGAAAACAGACAGGGGAAGGTTAAGAATAGCATAGGAAATGGAGAAGGCAATGAACTTATAGGTACAACCCATGGACGTGAACTAAGGGGAAGGGGGAATGCTGGTGGGAGATGGGATGCAGAGCAGAGGGGAATAAAGGGGAGAAAAAATGGGACAACTGTAATAGTGTAATCAATAAAGTATACTTGAAAAAATAAAATAAAAATAAATTAAGAATAAGTCATCTTTTCATGATCCCTTCCTGTCCCCTCTCATAATTGACTCCATGGCTGTAAGAACTCTGAATTTTAAGTTATTTTTGAGGAGGGGCAGACAGTAGATGAGAAATAAACAATGGATTGCTATTTTCACTAGTATGAAACAAAAGGAAGATCCAGATGATGGGATTAAAAATGCTTCTGCAAACATAAATATCCTCAGGTGTAGCAGAAAATGAAAAAATGAAGTAAATTGCTTTTTTGCCTTTCTCTAAAATTAGTAGGCATGTCCTCAAGTGAGGATTTAAAAAAATTCATCCCTGTATATATTTCCATTTTAGGACCCCTGATTTGAAGTCCCTCTATAACATGCTGGGAAGTAGATGCATTGAACCAAAGATCTAGTCAAAAAGTTGGCATAAATCTACTATTATAGATTTTTATTTTATTCTTTTATTCCTTAGAGCAGGGGTGTCAAACTCATTTTCACCGAGGTCCACATCATCCTCGGTGACATCCACGGTTGTCTTCGAAGGACCGAATGTAATTTCAATTCCTTAACAGTAAAGGAGTAGTTACATTTATACAGTCCTAAAATCATTTTGGCCCTTTGAAGGTAACCGCGAGGCTGATGTGGCCCCTGGAGATAATGAGTTTGACACCCCTGCCTTAGAGAGTGTTTCAAAGAACTGGGAAATGCATTCACATTCAAAGGGAGTTTTCACTTTTTATTTTCATTGCACAAACATGAAACCCATGAATGGAGAATACCATTCAGCATCAGTAACAACTCAGAAGATACACTTGGAAATGTTCATTGATGCTTCTCAGGTCTCACTTAGATGGTTAAGCATCAGAGTCAAAAAGTCAAAAGGATCTTTAGTATCCATCCTGGACACTGGGGATGGGAAAAGAATTTGACATCTTTGCCTTTGTCATCAACATCTCAGAACTACTTATTTTTAGCAGCATTCAGGAAGGTACTATGCTTCCTTTGGAAGGCGGTCTTTAATCTCATCTATCAGAAACTTTTGAAGTATTTTTAAACCATATTCCATTGTTTCTACTTATACTAGTTATTACCATCTTAATCAAGTCACCCACCTCCCTCCACCCTAACTGCATCCTGATAGAAATTGGTTGCTTCCTAAACTCTAATTATAGCCAAAGGCTTTATATTTAGTTTAATTTTTAGTTACTTAGTTACTTTCATCCCTTTTAATCAGAGACGATGGGTTTCTGTATCATATGTCAGTATTATATGTCCCCAGCCAAGAAAACAGAACATATCATTTCTAAATCAAATTATTGTAGCCCACAGGTTGGGGATGGGAGCAGAGAACAGCTCATCTTCCCATCCAAGACCCTCCTGGTTGTCTGAGTTACACTCCAGAGCTCTCTTTTCAGGAGCAGACACCTCTCTCACTTCATCACTAATCTTTTGCCTCCTTTCCTGCTAGATGGTCAGGAACTCAGTGTGTACTCCATGGCACTCTTCACTCCACCAAATTCAAGAGCACCAAGTACTTAGCCAAACTGCTTTGTGGTTTTCAAACCAGGTCTCCAGCAAGGGCAGGGCTCTCCGCTCCCAGGGGCCTTCATGTTCCTCCAGTTCCCACAATCTTCCCTCCTGTGGCATTTCCAGGGTTGTTTGTATTCTGTCCAGACTGTTCCATCTCATGCACCAGCTCCATACCCCGACACTTCACCTACCTCTGTACACAGGCAGCAGCACCTACCAGAAAGGCCACAGGCAGATCAGGGTCCCTCTGGCTTCTCAGGAGCCCTGCCACCTGGCCATAGCTCTGTAGTCCACCAGGAACAGTTGACTTTCTTTGACCTCTCCTACAGAAGGCAGTGTAGTGACAGAGACCAGTCTCCACAGGTGCTTCCCTTTGGGCAGGACTGGCCCTGGCTTCCAGGTGAAATGTCCTCATTTCTGACACTGCCCCCACCACTTCATGTCTCTGAAAGGGCATCCATAACATCAGCCTGGTGGCTTACTTGCCACAGGGTTGCCTCTTGGTCCTGCAGCAGCCAGATTTTGTGCCAAATCAATGGTGCATGGACAGGGGGCCGCCAGAATGTCACCCCAGCACCAGGATACTGGGACTGTCTTTAGCTAGGAGTGAAGATGGCCAAAAGAATTAAGTGGCTTTACTGCGTCTCTGGCCTCCATCTTGCCCATGCTGAAAGCATCTCAAAACCTACAAGGCAGTCTGGTCAGAGAGCGTGTGGAGATGGTAAGTAACACCCTGTGCTGTGCAATATGACCCCAAGCACAGGGGCTTAGAGAAAGACCCGCTCATTGGTTTATTTCATATACCCAGTGATGAAACCCAAACCTTCCAGGCTTGGCCAGGCAGGGAAGCAAGACCCTGTCCCTGTCTAAGACACATTCACTCTCCCCACTGTAGAAGCCTCCCCTGGCCATGGAAAGCATAGGCCACTGAGATGCCCTTCCTGTCCTCACATGCTTTCCTGAAGCCCCACTGCCCCTGTCTGTCTAGAAATGGTCTTCAAACCACCAGCTAACCAGTCCCCATCTCTTCCTGTGTCTTGAACATGACAGTGTCCTTTGGGGGCTGAGCACTTACCTCTGCCAGCTCCAAGAGGGGGAGGCGAGCAAACGTCCATTCATCAGACAAATATTTAGGGGGCAGGTCTATATGAAGTGCTGGGGACCCCTGGGCCAACCAAAGACCTGTCCTGGGGGGCTAAAATTTTGAGACAGAGACAGATAAGAAACAGATAAAAAACAAATGTAAAACATGTCAGTCCGTGGTAAGTGCTTTGTAAAGAAAAAGCAAGGTTGGTGTGGAGATGGACAAGGTGGCTATTTTAGACAAGGTGGAGAGGGTGGCCTCTCTATCAGGGGAGAGGGGTGGGTCAGTGGAGGAAGAGTACCTGTGTCTGTCTTCTTCCACATGCAGATGTAATATGATCTCCTTTCTTTCCACCTACTTCTCCATGCCTCCATTTGTGTAACATACCAGACTTCTGGGACCAGTCTTATAGCTTCCACCAGGTGTGCACATCCGCTCACTTTTGGATCTTATCAGGACTTATTATGCTAAAGGAACATCTCTCAATTCCTGTTTTGTGTTTACATGGCAGCATGGCCTTCCTCTAGCTTAGCCTTGGAAGGAGGCCTGTGCCCCCTCCCACTTTCTGAGTGGCCCCTCACTCCCAACCCTACAGTAGTGGGCAAGACGGAAGAGGGAAGGCAGATGTAAAAAGAAAAAAGGAGGTGACAGTAACCCCTCAGTCAGGAATGTTATGCTACCTGGGCAGACACATGTACAGGAAAGAAAATGGGAACACCCCCTAGGATCTCTGCTGCCCTATCTTCCTGCGCTTGTGTGACGATCCCATATGTCACCCACTACCAGGAGAAAGTCATCAGAGCACATTCTGAGCACTGCTGGCTTGCTTTTCAGCTTCCTGGAAAGAATCGACAGTGTCAGCTTGGTGGACTACACCCCCACAGACCAGGTATGTGAAGTTAGAGCTGCAGCTACCCATTGGAACCTTGTGAGATTAAAGAAATTGCCATTATTCAAGGATTATTTTTAATGGATTAAGGAAAATTTTCTTTAAATAACTACTTCTTGCAAATTGTGTGAACCCTGTATGCACACGCAGTATGTTTACCATGCCCTGTTAATTGGCTCATTGACTTAGCTCACTGAGACGTACTAAATTCCCAATATCAAAATAATTTTATTTGTGCAATAGAACTAAGCAATTCCCATTCCTCTTGGGAGGTCTCAACAGAAAACTAACCCTTTACTTCCCCAGCTTCATAAACTCTGCCCATTCTGCTTTTGGCCCTTGTCTGAGTTGCAAACACTCTCCAGGCTCACTCTCCAGGCTGTCCAGGGCTTAAGCCAGAGAAAAGTACCCCTTTTTAAGTAGCAGATAGAGACCTTCTGTGCCCACAAAACCTTTGACCCTCAGGCATCTGTAGAAACTTGGAGAACCCTGAATTGTTCAGCTTGAGAGTCCTCTAGATGCCTCCAGAGCTACTGAACTCCAAAGAAGTTATAGGGTCTCCATTCATACTGCCTCCATCCAATACTCCCCAGTGTCTGTGTCCTGGCAGGGCCTTGGTCGTGGGACCCTCTTGAAGGTCCTCTCTTCTCTGCCCTTCCTGGAGGTCTGCACTCTTCTCCATCCCTTGAACTCCACCTGTCTCTGAGGTTGACTCCAAGAGTTCAGAATTACCTGGCAGAGCAATGGAGCCTTTCTGGTCCTGAGTCAATTCCATAGGCTGTCCTAAGCACTCTCTCATCAAGCTATCAGGGGAGGACCACCTCCCAGCTTCCAGAATGATTGGAGGGTCTGCTTCATTAACATTATAATAGATTTGTTATCAGAAAGAAATACCCCTTACATCTAACAAATGTACAAAAGATGTCAGCTTTGTAAAACTGGCTTTCTCATACCCTCCAGACTGCAATCATCTCTTATCTTAGAATAGAAGTACGTGAGGAAGAGATCTTAAATCAACTAGCATCCAGTCCAAAAATTCCATGATCTGTGAATACAGAGTTATACCTCCTTTGGTTTCTCATCCAAATCAATCTGAACCTGAAGCAGCTGGCTCCCCAGTTGTACCAGGAGAGCACTGGCAGTGTCTCTGCCCAGAACACTAAGGGTGTAACGTGGTTGTCAGGAGCATAACAATCATGGGCTACATTTATCAGTGAATTTTAAAAAAACCCTAAAGAAAATAAAAGCACATCTCTCAAGCCTCTTGATACTGTAACTGCAACTTTCTGGAGGGAACAGAACACTTCATCTGAGATTTTAATTACTGTATTATTGTTGTTTCTGTTATTAAAAAAAAACTGCTCTTTGAAAAACTATTACAATTCTATCCAGGGCTTTCCTTCTGGAGAATGATGATGTCACTTGGTTTGTTTTTCTCTTCCTGTTCTCAGGACCTTCTCAGATGCAGAGTTCTGACATCAGGGATTTTTGAGACACGATTCCAAGTGGACAAAGTAAACTTTCAGTAAGTGTGTTGTCAAGAGCAGGCCTGCTGCAGAGCTGTGGGCAGGAAGCTCTCTCTCCTTGCTGCCTGCTGGGGCCCTACAGGACTTGGGGCCAAGTGACCCAAGGTGACCCAGCTCCCACCTGCAGCCCTCAGGCTTCTGGGAGCAGAATCCCAAATGTGCACTGCCATCCTTTTGGATAAATAAATACAGATTCTGTGGTCCTGAGGTACATGCAGAAAGTTTAAGTAAGGGAGGAGTCCAAGACTGGAAAGGCCTTAAGTAAGGTGAGAAAGATCTGAGGCCTTGGAGTAGGTAGAGAGAAACTGCAGCCAGAACACTCGGGCAGGGGGGTGCACTGTGCAGGCTGCCCTGAGAAAAGGGGCCTGAGCCAGCCTGATTACCGCAGGGTGAGAGCTGAGTGAGAGAAGTAACTGGGTGTGGATACCGACCTAGCACCCTAGTGCAGAACCCAGGGCTGGGCCTGAGCAGTCTGCTGAGGCTGCACAGGTGGGGCTGCAAGCTGGACAGCAATGGAGAAGAGCACAGAAGGGCAGGGTACTTCCTCACACCCCCAAATAATTGTCCTGTTGTTCTTCCACAGCATGTTTGATGTTGGTGGCCAGAGGGATGAGAGAAGAAAATGGATCCAGTGCTTTAATGGTGATTCCTATGCTCTCAAGAAAATGGGATGAATGTTCACACTCACTGCTGCTACTAGGTTTAAGTAGTTTTGAATGACATCATCCATAAAATGCCTTAAATATGAATCTCAGAAATAAGGAATTTAAGATCCCGAATTTCCATTTACCATTTGCTAATATGGGTAGACTCCTGATTGAGCGCATTACTGAACAATCAGTTACACACACAGAGTGACTTCAGGTCATTCTTATGCTGGTGGAAAGAAAGGTACCCTGCAAATGGGTAGCAGTGGGATGTGCACTTTATCATAACCCCCAGTGGCCATCTGTCTAACTTTTTCCCTCTTCTCTCACTAAGATGTCACCGCTATCATTTATGTGGCAGCCTGCAGTAGCTACAACATGGTGATTCGGGAAGATAACAACACCAACAGGCTGAGAGAGTCCCTGGACCTTTTTGAAAGCATCTGGAACAACAGGTTATAAAACTAATAAATTCAGTCTCACCACTGGTTTGCAAATTTTCTTTCATTAGAAGTCTCATTAAGCTCACTTTTACTTTTATTCTCCAGATATAGTAATTCTTCCCTTACTAAAGAATCCAAAACTATAAAAAGTATCTCTTTAGACCATCTCTATATAGACATACTTAACATGGGGCTGTTCCTTGATAAGGTTCTGTTAGTGTTTTTTTAAATATATTTATTGATTATGCTATTACAATTGTCCCATTTTCCCACCTTTATTCTCCTCTTCCCTGCACACCACCTCCCACCAGCACTCCCCCCCTTTAGTTCACATCCATGGTCATACATATAAGTTCTTTGGCTTCTCCATTTCCTATACTATTTTTAACCTCCCCGTTCTATTTTCTGCCTACCATTTATGCTACTTATTCTCTGTACCTTTTCCCCCTCTCACTCCCACTTCCCCACTGATAACCCTCCATGTGATCTCCATTTCTGTGATTCTGTTCCTGTTCTAGTTATTTGCTTAGTTTGTTTTTGTTTTTTTAGGTTCAGTTGTTGGTAGCTGTGAGTTTGTTGTTGTCATTTTACTGTTCATAGTTTTGATCATCTTTTTCTTAGATAAATCCCTTTAACATTTCATATAATAAAAGCTTGGTGATGATGAACCCCTTGAACTTGACCTTATCTGGGAAGTACTTTATCTGCCCTCCTATTCTAAATGAAAGCTCTGCTGGATAGAGTAATCTTGGATGTAGATCCTTGTCTTTCATGACTTTGAATACTTCTTTCCAGCCCCTTCTTGTCTGCAAGGTTCCTTTTGAGAAATCAACTGATAGTCTTTATTATATAAGAAATTACCTAGCTTATTTCACTTAGCATAATGCTCTCCAGGTCCAACCATGCTGTTGCAAAGGGTTGGAGTTCCTTCTTTCATAGTTTTTTGATCCACTCCTTTATTGATGGGCACTTAGGTTGCTTCCAGCACTTGGCTATTGGAAATTGTGCTGCTATGAACATTAGGGTGCATAGGTTCTTTTGAATTAGTGTTTCAGGATGCTTAGGGTATAATCCCAGCAGTGGAATTGCTGGGTCAAAAGGCAGTTCCATTTTCACTTTTTTGAGGAAATTCTATACTGTTTTTTACAGTGGCTGCACCAGTCTGCATTCCCACCAACAGTGCACTAGGGTTCCCTTTTCTCCACAACCTGGCCAAAACTTGTTGGCCAGATCCATTGATTTGGTTATGATGTGTATCTCATTGTGGTTTTAATTTGCATCTCTCCGATGGCTAGTGATGCTGAACATCCTTTCATATGTCTCTAGGCCCTCTGTATGTCCTCCTTGGAGAAGTGTATGTTCAGGTCCTTTGCCCATTTTTATTTGGGTTGCTTGTCTTCCTGGAGTGGAGTTGTGTGAGTTCTTAATGTATTTTGGAGATCAAACCTTTGTCCAGGGTATCATTTGCAAATATGTTTTCTCACATGGTTGGTTCCCTTTTCATTTTGCTGATGTTTTCTTTAGCCATGAAGAAGCTTTTTATTCTGATAAAGTCCAATTTGTTTCTTCTTTCCTTTATGTCCCTTGCTCTAGGGGACATATCAGTGAAAATGTTGCTGTGTGGAATATCTGAGATTTTCCTGCCTATGTTCTCCTCTAGGACTTCTATGGTGTCACGACTTATATTTAAGTCTGTTATCCACCTTGAGTTTATTTTTGTGTATGGTGTAAGTTGGTGGTTGAGTTTCATTTTTTTGCATGTAGCTGTCCAGATCTCCCAATGCCATTTGTTGAAGAGGATATTTTTACTCCCTTTTATGCTTGTTGCCCCTTTGTTGAATAGTAATTGACCATAGAGACTTGGGTTTATTTTTTGGGCTCTCTATTCTGTTCTATTGATCTATGTGTCTGTTCTTTTGCCAGTACCAGACTGTTGTGATTACCGTGGCCTTGTAGTATAGTTTGATGTCAGCTATGGTGATCCTCCTACTTTGTTCTTCTTTCTCAAAATTGCTGTGGCTATTCGGGGTCATTTATGGTTGCATATAAATTTTTGAAATGTTTGTTCTAAATCTGTGAAATATGTCATTGGTATTTTAATAGGAATTGCATTGAATCTTTAAATTGCTTTGGGTAGTATGGGCATTTTAATGATGTTAATTCTTCCAATCCATGAACATGGCATATGCTCTCATTTGTTTGTGTCTTCCTTAATTTCTTTCTTCAGTGTTGTGTAGTTTTCTGAGTATAGGTCTTTTACCTCCTTGGTTAAAAATAAATAATTTTTTTTCTGTAGGTATTTTATTTTTCTTGTCACTATAGCAAATAAGATTTTTTTCCTTATTTTTGTTTCAGATATTGAATTGTTGGTATACAAAAATGCCTTTAATTTATGAATATGACTTTGTATCCTGCTGTTTTTCCAAATTCACTTATTGTATACAGTAATTTTGGTGGAGTCTATAGGATTTTCCATGTATGCTATCATATCATCTGCAAAAAATGACAGTTTTGCTTCCTCCTTTCCAATTTGGATGCCTTTTACACCTTCTTCTTCTTTGATCGCTGTGGATTGGACTTCCAATACTATGTTGAATAGAAGTGGTGAAAGCGGACATCCTTGTCTTGTTCCTGATCTTTGCCAGAAAGGTTTTAGTTTTTGCCCTTTGAGTATGATGTTGGCTGTAGGGTTTTTATATATGGCCTTTATTATGTTGAGGTATGCTCCCTCTACTCCCACTTTGCTGAGTGGTTGTTGTTTTTTTTTTGTCATAAATGGGTGCTGAACCTTATCAAATGTTTTTTCTGCCTCTATTGATATGATTATGCGATTTTTGTCTTTTCTTTTATTTATGTGATATATTACATTTATTGATTTATGAATATTGTACCATCCTTGCATGCCTGGGATGAATCCCTCTTGATCATAGTGTATGATCTTTTTGATGTATTGCTGAATGTGGTTTGCCAATATTTTGTTGAGGATTTTAGCATCTATGTTCATCAGCAGTATTGGACTCTAGTTTTCTTTCTTTGTTGTTTCTTTATCTGTTTTGGTGATTAGGATGATGCTGCCTTCATAAAGAGAGTTTGGGAGTCTTCCCTTTTCTTGGGTTTTTGTAATAGTCTGTGAAGTATAGGTGTTAGCTCTTCCTTAAGTGTTGTAAAATTCTTCTGTGAAACCATCTGGTTCAGAGATTTTGTGTGCCAGGAGTTTTTTAATTATTACTTTGATTTCACCAGCTATTGTAGGTCTGTTCAGGCTTTCTACTTCTTCTTTATTCCATTTTGGAAGATTATGTTTTTCTAGAAATTTTTCCACTTTACCCAGCTTTTCAAATGTCTTGGCATATAGATATTCATACTAACTTCTTAAAATCCTTTGTTTCTGTGGTATCAGTTGTAATTTCTTGTGATTCATTTCTGATTGTATTTATTTGGGTCCTCTCTCCTTTTTTTCTTAATGAACCTACTTAAAGTCTTGTTGATTTTATTTTATCTTTTCAAAGAACCAACACCTGACTTATCGATCCTTACAATTGTTCTTTTAGTCTCTATGTCATTTAATTCTGCTCTGATCTTGGTTACTTCCTTCCTTCTACTCATTTTGGGCTTTGTTTGTCGCTGTTCCTCAAGTTCTCGTAGATGTAAGGTTAGGCTGTTTATTTGAAATGTTTCTATCATTTTTAGGTAGGCCTGTATTGCTATGATTTTCCCTCTCAGGACTGCCTTCACTGTGTCCTATAAGTTTTGGACTATTGTGTGTTCATTTTCACTTGTTTCCAGAAATTTTTTTATTTATTCCTTGATCTCATTCTTAACCCATTCATTGTTTAACAGCATGCTATTGAATCTCCATGATTTTGAGTGTTTTTGAGTTTTTTCTTTGAAATTGATTTCTAGTTTCAGTCCCTGGTGATCTGAGAAGATGCTTGATATGATTTCAATTTTCTGAAATGTGTTGAGGCTTTTTTGTGTGTGTCCTATCATGTGGTCTATCTTTGAAAATGTTCCACATGCATTTGAAAGGAATGTGTATTTTGCTTCTTTGGGATGAAAGGTTCTATATATATATCAGTTAAGTACAATTTGATATAATGGGTCATTCAGTTCTACAATATCCTTCTTGATATTTTGTTTGGAATATTTATCCATTGTTGACAGGGGGGTGTTAAAATCCCCATAATTGTATTTCTGTCTATATCTTTCTTGGAGTCCTCTAAAATTTTCCTTATATATTTAGGTGCTCCTATGTTGGGTACATATATGTCTATACTATTTATGTCTTCTTAATGGATTCTTCCCTTGAGTATTATGAAGTGTCCTTCTGGGTCTCTCTTTTTATGGCCTTTGTTTTGAAGTCTATTTTGTCTACATATTGCTACCCCCGCTCTTTTTTTCCTGTCCATTTGCTCAAAATATTTTTTTCCAACCTTTCACTTTCAGTCTGTGTAGGTCTTTTGTTCTGAGGTGGGTCTCTTTTAGGCAGCAGATGTGTGGGTCATGTTTTGTTATTCATTCAGCTACCCTGTGTCTTTTGATTGGAGCATTTAATCCATTTACAATGAAGGTTATTATTGATATGTATTTATTCATTGCCATTTTGTCCCCTTTGTACCTGTGTTCCTCTCTCTCTTGCTCTTTTTCTCCCTTCTCTTAAAGCAGTCCATTTAGCATATCTTGCAGTGCTGGGGTTTGGTGGAGGTGTAATCTTTCAGCCTTCTTTTGCCTGGGACACTCCTTATTTGGCCTTCCATTTTAATTGAGAGCCTTGCTGGATAGAGTAGTCTTGGTCACAGGCCTTTGCTTTTCATTACTTAGAATATTTCTTGCCATTCCCTTCTGGCTTGTAGTGTTTTCATTGAGAAGTCAGCTGTTAGCCTTATCAGGGCTCCCTTAAATGTTACTTCCTGTTTCTCCCTTGCTGCCTTTAAGATTCTCTGTTTGTCTTTGAATTTTGCCATTTTAATTACATTTTTTTGTATTTTTTGACTAGAAAAAACCTTAAGGCTATTTCCATTTGGGGGAAGAATGGATGGTGTTTCTAATTCATAGTAAGATTCCTGTGCACTAATCATCAGCTTGATTCCTTTGAAGTAACAGAATTTCTAAAGGTTTGCTGATGCACACACTGAATTCATGTTAAGCCATTTCTCAGCATCTGTTTAATTAAACAAAGAACTTTCCAGCCTACACCTTCACTGTACCTTAGCCCTTTCCCTTAGCCTTTTCTGTCCAGTGCAATGATACAGACCTGATTAACATCCTGCTCCAGGTTAGAGAACCTCAGATGTAGTTAGAAATGTCAGGGGAAGAATGAAGGCAGCTGCAAACTATTTTTTGTGTGATTAGCTAATGAGTCCTGTACCTTCATTTAACTTCTATTTTTTTGACCCTTTATTAGTAAATCATACTACCATAATCCAAGTATATTATGTAAGTAAACCTTAGTTTTGGTACCAGTAAATTCATGTATTCAGTGAATGTAAGTTAGAAAGTGCTACACTGCTAAATCAACTCCTATGTTTATTTATCATTATTTATCATGAATTTCTTTCTTATAGATGGAGTGGGAGACCAAGATATTGGTATATTAAATAATGCTAAATCCTATATATCATCAGGAAGGTGACAATGTTGTCCTTTTCACTAAATTCCTCCTATGTTAGATGTACTTGCCCATACAGAGGATGTGAAATTTGTGTGTTTATATCTCCTTTTCAGGTGGCTAAGGACCATCTCTATAATCTTGTTCTTGAACAAACAAGATATGCTGGCAGAAAAAGTCTTGGCAGGGAAATCAAAAATTGAAGATTATTTCCCAGAGTATGCAAATTATACTGTTCCTGAAGATGGTAAGATTTCAAAACAAGTTTCTCCTGACTAAGGAAAAGATTTAATTGTTCTTTTAATAGCCCTGTAACTATAATTCAAACAGTTCAGATGAATCTAGAAAAGTCAGTTAATTAATATCAATCCTCTCAAATACTGCCCCACCTCAAGTAGGAGAGTATTAAAATGTCCTATGTAGGATTCCATTTGTAAAAATTTCAGAATTTGACTTTCCATTTAAACTGTCCAGTTAGAGAAAGGGCAGGTTTTAGGTGTGAGTATGTCATTAGTTGGGATAAGTTCTACCTCTTGGTGCCTCAGTTGGGACTACCATGAACTGGGCAGTCCTTTGCATTGATCTTCACACTGAACTCTCACCATAACCCTATGTGAGAGTTACTATTATTATGTTTTCTGGTGGAAAGTGGGACTTAGAGAGGTAAAGTCGCTTGTTCAAAGTAAGTCAGGTAGAACCTGTGAGGACAAGGAAGGCTTTGAACCCTTTACTCTGAAGCCTGTGATTTCAGCCACCATGTTTACATCTCTTGTCTCCAGGGATGATTTTAGCTAGACATTGGTCACCTCTCAGGGAGACCAACCATCTGTGGGTGTTCCTGGGACCTGGAACTTTCAGTGCTAAAGCCAAGAAGGTCCTGTCCAGGCAAACCCTGGTAGAGATAATAATCCCATTTCCAATTTCTATTCTTCAGTTTTGAGTAGACACTGGGCAACCAGGCTCTTGTAGGAAAGATTTGCTTATAGGAAAATAACACCACATCCTAAATTTGAGTCCCAAACTACATCAAGCACAATGAAAGGGACTTTCCTAGAAACTCCCATAAAGAAGTTAAGAAAATTCATCAGCCTCTGCACTAACCTCAGAGAGCCGAGCGGTGTGCTTTCCAAGGCTAAGGTAACGTGCCATTTGCCTGAGGGTAATCTTCAGAGCACCCCTTGTGTTGCCTTCTCTGTTGCTGGATTACCTGTCTCTCAGCAACTGACTCTAACTTTCCCAGTCACCAGTTTCCTCACCCTGTTCCTTCACCTGACCAATCAATACTCAAGCTCTGTGGAGATATTTCCTAAATGCTATCTATGATAACATACACTTCCTTGTTATTCCTTCCTCATAGCCTTGGTCCTGACCCTCATTCCCCTCTTCTCAGCTTATGGATCAAGTCAATGCAGCTCGTAGCCCAGGTTCCCTGACTCCGGTCACTCAGCTTTCCAGAAAACTCTCTGAAGTTCTGAAAAGTCACCTTTCTGAAACAAAATCACACCATGCTTATTATCCCTACCAACACTGACGTAATCTTACAGGCTGAGGCCAAAACTGACCTGTCTAGGCAATAGTAAAAGCTTCACTCTCCTACTCTCAGCAATACTGTGCTCCTCCCTGCCACACTCACTGACACTGTGCTCCTCCCCCCACACTCAGTCACACTGTGCACTCCCCCACATTCTCAGTGACACTGTTCCCCCCAACCCTGGTTATGCTATGCTACTCCTCCTCCCCACACTTTGTGACATTATGATCTTACCCTACACACACTCAGTCACCCTGTGCTCCTCTCCTGCTCAATCCTCTCTCCCCTTTGCACTGGGCCTGCCCAGGCACCTGTCCTGGCCAAACATGGCAGGCCTTCAGGTCAGGGATGACTCAGCAACTGCAGAGCTTCCCAGTACCACAGTAGTTGTAACAGAAAAGGGAAGAGAGTGATGAAAACAAGCTGACTTGAAGCCTACAGTTTAGGAAAATAAGTTTCACAGGGCCACAGAAACTACTGAATAATGATTCCATGAACATAAAATGTGCATGGGAGAAAGGCTCAAAAGGGCCTAGAGCTGAGTGGTCACCACAGATGATTTTAATTAGGGGCTGCAGATGCTGCAGTCTCTAGGAGGAACAGTAAGAGAGGGTCTTTCTAAGAACAAGCCAGATGGAATGAGAACACAGCCCCACAGTCCAGATGAGCAGAGCCACTGCTGAAGCTACAGCCATAGGCCTGGCACCCAGCTCCTGGAGATTGCTGGGTCTTCTCTCCTCCATAGAGTGCTGAAGGGGAAGGCAGCTGTGGGCTTGGCAAGTGTTTAATGAGATGCTTTCATTTTATCTGAGTGGAAGTTATCTCCCCACCACCAAAAATGAAAGTTCTATGAGAGTTGTAACTATTAAAATGATTTGAAAGGAGAAAAGAAAAATGAAAGTGACATTTTAGCTTTTTGCCATTTTAGCTGTATGCCTTTTAATGCTATAAGTATACTGCAGTCCAACTTTGTAACTCATTTTATATTTTCCAGAGTTGTATCTCTGGTCCACATTACTTAATTAAAATTCCATTTGTAATTTCTACAGCAACACCAGATGCAGGAGAAGATCCCAAAGTTACAAGAGCCAAGTTCTTTATAAGGGATCTGTTCTTGGTAAGTGATTTTATTAACCTTTGTTTTCCTACAGCCATAGAGTTGTATTGTTCTTTGCAATTTGAAAATTACTTACCCTTTCATGATCTAGTTTAATCTCCCCTCAAGTTATAAGAGATGAGAGGAGTATTGTTACTTTATCTCATCACTGAGCACATTGAGGTTCAGAGACATTAGATGTCTAACCTCAGGTCACACAGCTTACAAGCAAGAATGGCATGAAGACAAGCTAGACCCTTTTGCTTATTGTATTTTGCAAAATGGAAAGAGTCTTTCAGCAGAATCTGAAATACCAGCACCCAACCTGGGTCCTCCTTTAATCCTTTGTCTTCCATTTAACACTAAGAGGCTAAAATTAATGTGAAAATGGACCTGCTCAGAAACAGACTTTTTTTTTACTTTCTATTAAAAAGTGAAAGAATTGTATAAATTCTTTCTACCATATACTCTTATCCATTACCCAGTGGGTAGTATCCATTGTACTACCATATACTCTTCACCCAAATTGACCAACTGGTAAAAGTTTACCATATTTATTTGTCTTATCTATTTTTTTTCATTTGAATAAGCCACAGTGTATAACTAGCTACAAATTTTCACTAGCCAGAAACTAACAGATGCCAAGACTTACTCAAGACCATGTTCCAGTCATACCCAGACAGCACTTGGCACATGTCCATTGTGCAGAAGTGGAAATCAACCCAGTCTGCAGCAGAGATGGTCCAGGCTGAAGGCGGGCATTTCCATGGGAATCAGATCCTCAGCACAGCACCTAGGAACCCCTTCTCTACCCTCCTTTTATGATGTTCCCTTTTGCCTCTTGAATCCTATATTGAGTGAGAAAGTAACAAGGGTAAGAAACCAAGTCCCAAGGTGAGATCTGAGGAACAAGTATCCCCAGGAAGTAACAGGTAGTGCTGCTGGGAAAGAGCTGCGTACTGAGTCCATCTGGGAAATGCTGTGTTAAACAAAGTGAGACAAGTTTCTCTGTTGTCAGACTTCTAGGAACTTTTGCTGTGCTGATGCATTTTGTGAGTCTCTTCATTCAGGGAAATTAGCTTCTAGTAGATTAAAGATTTCTTTTCTTAAGGAGCATCTTACAAGACTATAATATATAAAAACACATTAAAAAGTGTTCTACAAATGCTATTCTAATGAGATTGAAACAATAACCAAGTGTGCAAATTGGGCATCTAGATAAAGATTAGAAATAGAATATGAATGGCCATGTCCCCACCATTCAGTCCTTGGGCAGAAACCTTTTCTCTAACAGTGGACAAACCTGGCTTGTATGGAGTTTGCAAATCAGGGAAATAAAGACATGGAAGGCATCAGCTTACATTTTTTATTGTGGGATTTGCCTGAGGCAGTGAGTCATCCAAGAAGTTTTGAGTTGGAACCCTCAGCCCCAGACTTAGAAGGCATCCAGAGTGGATTACAAAATTGGTTATTTATTAGTATTTAATCTGGAAGAGAGCAAATCGTAGGTGAAAAGATAACTTTGGTAACACAAGGCCCCAAGAGAGGGTGGGGAATAAAGGTTATAAAAGGAGGAGAGGTGCAGGGGGAGAACCTGTCCTTTAGGAGGGTAAAGAGGGGTTGGGGCTTGGAAGGGAGAGAGCACAAGGAGAGGAACCCTTCCATGAGAAGGGGCCAAGTGCTGTCTGAGCATTCTCCTTAAATGGCACTACATGAGGAGGGGACTGACCACCAGGAGGTTTGTCCCAGGCAAAGTCATTTCTTCCTGTGGAGAGTCATCTTAAAACAGGAGGATCTTAGAATGGAAGGAGACAAAAGGAGGGAGGGCCAGGGAGTCAGCCCCCAGCACCCCCTAGTCATAGTCAACCAGATCTGTCCCTCAAGCTGGAAACCACCTACAAGCCCCAGCCCAGACCTAGACCAGAGAGTCTCTTCCAAGGCCAGTGTTGCCAAACCTTTTAAAGCAGAAGGTGATAAGTATGTAGTCACAACCCTGTGTCTGCATACTCTTAGCATGTAAGAAGCCTGCATGTTTTCTGAGCTGTCCTCCTCATATTTACTAGATCATCTCAGATTTCTTTCACCTTGACCATTATCTCCTAAGAAAGGGCCTCAGAGAATAAGACAGCAGCTAGGTGACCCAGCCAAACAAACTGGGCAGAGTCTAGAACTGCCCAGTTTTCCTTGATAAGCTTATTCATATTATTTTTAATGAACATTAGCTTTTTTTCGAGATTTAAACTGTTTGAAATTTGCAAACTGCAACAACCTTTGTAATAACTCCATTCCTTTCTAGGCAAAGAGGAACTGGTCACATTATTACAGAAGAAAGCCTATTTTCATTCATTCACTATGCACTTACTCTCCTTGTGCCACACACCTCACCTTGTGTTTTAGGGCTAAAAAGATATGTAACTTACAGACTTTGGTGTCCCTAACTTAAAAAAAAAACTTTTAATTGCTCAAGAATAGCCCAACTGCTGCTAAAAACATCTCTCCTTTTAGGATTTTCATAACCTGATGAACATTTGCATATCACCCTTGCAGAGCCCCAGTATTTCTCCAACAGCTGATTCCTGAGCTACTTTGCGGAAAAATAGGGGGTGGGAGTGGAGGGACAAGAGGACATCGGGGATTCCTGTGGGCACCTATGAAGAAAGTTCCATATGACCCCTGCATCAGTCTGCCAGGGCTGCCGTAAACAAAGTCCTATAGACTAGCTGGCTTAAACAAAGAAAATTTATTTTCTCATTGTTCTGGAGGCTGGAAGTCTGAAGTCAGGGTGTGAGAAGGGCTGATTTCTCCTGAGACCTCTTCCTGGGCTTGTAGATTTTCACCACCTCCCTGTGTTCTCACATGGTCTTCCCTCTGTGTGTTTGTGTCCTTATCTCCTAAGGACACCCATTTTACTGAGTAGCACCCACCCTAATGAACTCATCTTAACTTAATTACCTTTTTAAAGACCCTATCTCCAAATACAGTCACACTCTGAGGTGCTGAGTGTTAGGATTTAAACATGAGTGGGGGAGGGGCACAATTTAGCCCATGACAGCCCCTCTCCACACTGCCCCACTTAGCTTCACAATGCAAATGAGCACGTCACTCTAAGATGTCCTCACGAGTCATGACTGATGATGTTTAACTCAGTGTTTCTCAGTTATTTGGCCACACAGCACTTAACCCAGGGACACCCTAGGAAATGCTAAAGGTCTATGTGGAGGAGGAAGTAACATGGCTGAGGTTATACCCATACAGAACCACTAGTCATGTGTGGATATTTAAATTAAAATTAAATAAAACTGAAAATCAGTCTCTGCTGCATCAGCTCAGCATAGTGGCTACCTTATTGACAGGGAGGATATAGAACATTTTCATTATCACCAAAATTTCCACTGAAAGATGTTGGTTTAGACCTTCATTTCTGGAAAATTCCACCCTAAATTCTGTTTTCATTGGCTGTCTTTTAAATGTTCATCCTGTTTCAAATGAATTCTAAGCTTCTGTGGGCAAGAGGTAAGCTAAAATTCTTTGGGTTTCCAGTTGTGTGTTCACTATTTAGACACTCCCTACAGCTCTGTATTTCTATGTCAAACAAACAAGACAACACCCAAGCCCTCTATTCTTTGATCCAAGAATGAATGGGGTGGGGGCTGCGTTTCCATGTGCCCTAGGGCGAAGTGGCCAGGGCTCTGCTGCACTGACGCCTTTTTTTTTTTGCAGAGGATCAGCACTGCGACAGGGGATGGCAAACACTACTGCTACCCACACTTCACCTGCGCCGTGGACACGGAGAACATCCGCAGGGTGTTCAATGACTGCCGAGACATCATCCAGAGGATGCACCTCAAACAGTACGAACTCTTATGAGGCGTCTAGGGCAGTAGGCATGCCTTCTGGCGCCATCTCTCCGCCTGCTCTCCTTTCTCTGCTACCACACCAGGCAGAGCAGTTATTTCCAAACTACCTGTCAGCCCCAAGCCATGGTAGAAAGTAGTGAGTTCCCACTGTCATCCATGCTGCCGTCTGTCCTGCTCTGTGTCCTCTCCATGTGTGACCACCAAGCCTCTGGCTACCTCTTTCCCCTCAGGTTTGGTTTGTAGCTTTTGTTCTCATTGAACATGGCCTTCCCTAGCCTCCCACCCCCACCCATTTGTCATTGAAAACCATCTACTCTCACTTGGGTGACACTACAGTGAAATTTCTCTGGGTGGGGGCCCCTGTTATTCATTTATTCAGTGATTTGTTCATTAATTCAAAACTTGATAGATGGCGGAAAAGCACACTTTTCCCAAGTTATGTGACATGATTGTAGAGTCACTTGTGTAATGCAGTGAGCCAGGCTTTCCAATTCTAGCTTTAAGCTGCAAACGGACAAGAGGCCACCTCTTCTGATCTGCATTAGCCCAAGATTTAGAGTAGGCCCCAAGCTACAGAATGGTAAGAAAAGCTTTTTTTTTTTTTCAGTAATATTTTGAGTATCCGCTAGCCTCAGGCATTTAAATTACAGCTACTTTGAGCCTTTTATATTTAGGCAGAAAACCTACCACATTCACTACTGCAAAGGGTATCCTGTCTAAAAATGATTCTCTAGATTTTCACAATGCTTGGGCAACAGTCTCCTTTCATATATTCTTTTTGTTGTTATTTTATTGCCAGTTTATTATAATGTACAGACCATAGAATTTAATATTATTTTGTATAAGTCCTGAAGAAAAATCCTTGGAGATCTTTGGGCCTTGATTGTGGCCATACCTATAAAAGAAATGTGTTTTTATTGTGCTAACAGCTAAATGGCAGCATAACCCACCGCTTGCTCAAAGAAAGGGAATAAATAGTATCTGTAGAATTTAGGACATTTTACCAGGATACTGAAAAATACTCCTTGATTTTTAAAAATTATATGTATTATATTATACACATAACTCTTCCACATCTTATAATTAATGCTGTACTAACATCACAAGCTTCTTCCAAGGAACCAAGGATGTTTTTTCTCTCCAGACAAAATGTTTATTGATTATTTTACTATTTAAAGACTTTTACAAGTTCCCTCAGTGGGAATAGGTCAACTATTCCTACCGTCAAAGCTTTTGAACCATTCATTTGACCATAGGTTCCATCATAAGTAAAAAGGAAGAAAAAGACAAAAGGGTGTCAATATTTGTGTCTACTTAGGAGAATCAAAGGATGACATTTTCATTTGCCTTTTGAAGAAGAAACATTACAAAACTTTTATTTGAAATATGAAGTCAAAATATATGAAGATTTACAAAGGCAGCCTCAAAAGTTATGGCACTCTAGAAAGCAAGAGTCACTGTAGCAGGGATGTTTTATACTCTCTCCACAGCCACAGCTTTGAGGGCAGTTCCCTTAGGTCAAAGCTAATCTGTGATGATGTCCAAGTTACAGTTCAACAGTACAGAGCCAGAGAAGTCACGGCCTGGCCTACATTACTTCAGTAACTTCTTTCTAGTCTTCTAGTCTTCGTTAAGTATTTTCAAGTTTATAATGTAATTAGCATTTTTAGAACCCTTTATAAACCTATCCATTTTTAAATACTACCAACTTTAACATGAAAGGATGGCAACTTTATAGACAATCAAGGCAACAAACACGTATTTTATTATCACCAAATCCTGCCCCTTTCACTCTTAACTTTTTGACAAAACTCTCAGTTGAACTGAGACATATAAAGCAGAACTTATTTTCAGTTTTCATTGCACTTTCAAAATAAAAACATGAAGGAAAACCTGAACAGATATACCCCCACATATACACACAAAATGAAATAGTATATTGTTACATGCATTATTACTCAATAACTCCCCAGTAACTAAACTTTCTATTTAAAAGTTTGACTGAAAATAGGACTAGTCTCTTAGAAAAAATACAAAAATAATACATTCTATCTGGCTTAAAATTATCAAGATATTTATTTTTAAATACCAAAGCCACTTCCTTGTCAATTTTTCACATTTATTTTGATCAATGATAGGCATTAAATTCAGATTTAACAACTCAGTCTGCTGGAGAGAACATTACACTTTATCTAAAAATTTGATTCTATTAATTTAGCACAGAAGTACAAAAGTCTGTGTAAACAATATATTCCTGCTTGTAGCATCTGTACATTTATTTTCGGTGTACAGCCTTATAATATATAGGACTTTGAAAACAGCTTTTTAGGAGGACAGAAGCAAACCCAGTGCTTGGTTTGTATACAACTAATTCCAAGTGAGCTCCAAGGCTACTGGCTCCACCTTGGGGAAGGAAGGATTGTCTAGTGCATGCATATGATGACATTAATAGCATTTACATATTGTACGGATACCATCTTTGATTATACATATATTTGATAAAATGAGAAAACACAATTGTCATCGAATACATGTTCCATTTTTATAGCATGAAAACAGTACAATCAACTATTTATTCTGCAGTAATTTGCACCAACAATTTAGAATTTTATGATGTGCATAAAGAGTCTATTTTAGTCTCATCTCACATGAGCACTGCCTGATGTTCAGTTTCTTTGGCTCTGATATTTATTACTACATGCAAAAAGTCTCCTGCTCTTCACACTGTCTTAAATTTTCTGAGCAGCTTACAACCAAGAAGAAAAGGTGAGGCTAGAAGTCCAAGGTCAACTAACATAATGACCACAAGGAACCCAGCTGCCCCACAGTATGTGATCAGAACTGTGTCCTCATGGGGAAGGTAGCACTTGGCCAGGGCATACTTTGTGGGTGTCATGCTGCCCTGGAAAGAAAACAAGAATGTTATGCTGCAGTAAGAACTCCACACACAGCTCAACACATCAATCTGACTTAGAAACAACGGAGGAAAGGCAGCTTTCCTGGCTTACTTAGGTGAGGCATGGAAGTAGCTCTCCTCCTCAGGAACTTAAGGAGTTCCTACCCAAGCAGTGGTGAGAGGGGAATCAGGGGTTCCTCTAAAGTATAATGGGCATAACTGAAAGCTACTCAGAGAGGCATGGAGATTTAGAGCAACAGTCATCGAGAATCAGGAGTACAAGGCTATTTTTCATGCCACTTGATGGTAAAATAAGCAATGTGTCACCTAGATATACATGTCCTAGAGGTATCTGAATGGCTTTTTTTTTTTTGGTAGACACTTTTGCTGTGGGGAATGTTGTCATTTACTACTTTGAATTTAACAACATGAGGTTTTTCCCATCTTTTCATGAAGTAGAAGTACCCGACACAAAAGCATTATGAACTGGATGCTACAACCCAAGGGCAAAAGAAAGGAGCTGAAACATCAGGTAATCACTAATTGAAACAACATCCTTAAACAGTTTGTAAGAGCTGTAGCATACTTCTGCCAGAGTACATGCGCACATTTGGACAACAAGACAAGATGGCTAAGTACACCCAATGAAGCAATGATCCAGTTTCCTTACATAAACACAGAGAGTCTAATATCAGAGGACATCACCATCCTTGAAGGATAAACTACTCTATAAGCCGCTCCTCCCTCATCCCTCTGGAATAATGCCAGGAAGGTGTTCAGACAGGGGGCAGTATAACAAACTAAGTGTGCGTGTGGAGAAGGGGAAGTATATTTACAGCTTTTGTATATTTTTACAGATTGCAGCAATTAATAGTTGATTACTGTGTTGATTTAAATACTTATGAAAGCTTTGAGACGAAAATAAATGTTCACATTACCATGATGAAACTGGGGTTGTTTCTGTTCCTCCAACTGAAAGAGGGCACACTGAGCTCAGGGATTCCTGCCCCATGGAGCACCTCGCAGGCGCTGTGGGTGTGGCCGCTCAGGACCAGGCGAGGCTGGAGCCACCACAGCAACTACCATACCCAGGGGACAGCAAAGGGTGGTTAGTGCTTGCACAGAGCTCTGCTGGGGCCCAGAGCTAGGCCACTGCTGGTTTCATTAAGTTAAATACGAAATCCCTACTTCATAGGACTGCTTTAATTTTTCCTTAAACTCCTTTGGTTTATTTAGACCCTATCAAAAGTAAGTTCAGGCTCTTAGAGAGAATCTATTCCTCTTACCCCAGACTTCATTATTGTTATAAATATTTATAAATTTATTTTATAAATACATTTATATGTTATTATATAAATATATATTTAAGAAAGAGCATTTTGAGAATCTTTAAAAATTTAACCTTTAAGTTCCAGTTACATTTCCAAATACATTTAAGTTGGTGGAAAAACTCTGAATAAAGAATAGCTGAGGATATTATTAACTTGATATTAGGAAATAGAAGTGGATTTACTACGTGGGTGGGTAGAAACAAAACAATGACACAAATATCTGAGATACTGCCAAAATTGTACCCTCCGTCTCTCAGTCAAAACTAACAAAAGTCACCTGCCTCTCAGTGACTTTTAGAATCTGGCACACTGTCAAACCTTTTGTGAGGCCTCCTGAGAAAGCACGTCATATCTCTCCTTAAAGGGAATGCTCCTTTCTTCTGGAGGTGCAGCGTCCTCCCCAGAACAGTTAGCATCACTTCTCCGGTAAAGTGGAAAATGCTGTCCAGGATTTAGAGAGGAGTGAGAGGTGACTTGTGTAGTCCCCTGTGCAGTTCCACCAAATACAAGGAGCTGCTTTCTCTCCACCTCACCTGCAGAAGGACTGGGGCTGATGCCAGCTGCAGCTGCCTGTTCTCACAGTGGCTAGAGCGCTGTTTCTGGTCAGGTATCAGTCCATTAACCTAGCAAACCCATTATTCAGTGCATGGTAAGAAGGAAAGAGGGAGCTGAGAGACTGAAAAAACACGAAGTGCTCCAACTGGCAATGCCTTTAGAACATGCCAGAACAGAAGGACCTGTACTATTCAGATGATCTCCTACCTCTCGGGAGCAATTCAGTTTGTGAGAAATTTCCATGAGTTCAGCTTCTGCTTCAGAGCAAATGTTGCAGCCATCCCCTTCCAATGCAACACTGTTGACCATCACAAAACTAAGGCAGATAGGAGCAAACAGAAAGTCAGGAGGCTTTCTGTGTATTGCCTTCTTTGCAATAATGAAAGCTAGGCATCCACAGGGTGAAGAAACCCCCAGAACAGTTTTAAATCTCAACTCGATTAATCTGTGTTTATAGGCAGGAGTCAATTCTAAGAAAACAAAATAGCATTATTCGGTGTGGAGTCCAAGACGTGGTAAAAGGATTTGTAACCCAGAACTTGTGAGAAACCCCGAGTACAGAAGCTCTGAGGACAGACTACCACTAAATTCAGCACTGAACCATGTGTCCTGAGGCAAGTTACGTAGCCTCTTTGTGCCTTATCTACAAAATGGAGATATAAATAGTACACTCATATCATCATCATTGTAAGAATTAAATAAAATAATACATAGACTAGGGCCTGCCAGTAGAAAGCAGTCAGTGAATGTTAGATATTGTTAGTACATAAATGCAGTGTGGGCGACGTTCGGTAATGTCTGTGTACTCAGCAAACAGGCAGGGTTGGGGGGTGGGAGTGCTAGTTAGAGCTGACTGATATGGATAATCCCAAATGGAGTTAATTATGGTTCTCCTTTGCAACCACTTTACTTTGGTTACCTTTTCTATAAACTCCCAATAAATATGCTTTTATTTCCTACACTCATATCAACTGGGCATGAATAAGGTACCTATCATAAAGACTGCCTGAAATTTAAAGAATTTTAGAGATGAGTACCTGACTAATCAAATGATACGATCAGTGTGTTTAATTAAAATTTCTTAAACTCTATGCCCAAAGAGAAACTATGTCAAGTCTCCATTATGACTCAGGAAACGAAGCTACTAGAGACTGTTCTATAAGCAAAGGAGGGAAGGAATGAGCACTTGTAGAGAACCCACTGAAACCTGGTCTCTGGGAGCTTCCCATAGACTTTATCATTTGATGGGCCCAGTGAGCTGCTTTAGTCAAAGCCAACAGAGTGCTGGATACCATGGGAAGGAGATAATCAATATAGGTGGAAAAAAACCTCTCCCACCTTTTCTCTTTCCACTAGGTCTGTAGCTAGAATAGTGTGTATGTACTCCCTGGTCCACTGTGCTGCAAACACACAGAGACCAGAAAGGGTCCAGAGACAGAGATGGGCACAAAAACTGCCTGGCAGAGGGAGAGCTGGAACTGGTGGTCATACTAAAGGGTTAAGAAGCTTTGATCTAAAAATCAAAGCTGGTGGGAGTGGTGGAACGGGTAGGCACAGAGCTGCAGAGCACAGTGAGCAAGCACACTTGTCATCACATCCTAGGACACCATAACCACAGAAACATCCTTTATAAAATGAAATAAGTAAATTTTGAACAAATAAAAAATACCCCTTTATAAGTGGACTGATTAAATTTATATTACCCAGAGATAGTGCCAACAGAATAAAATTCCTTTGGTAATTAGGCAAAGTCATATGACCCCGCCACCATGGATTGTTAGGGAAAACTAGTGTGGTGACTCTAATGGGGACCATCAATGAAAAGAGCCTGAGGCACCTTTGTCAGAGACTGTGAACCAGGCCAGAGAGACCATGGGTCTGACCCAGTATGGGAGTCACCTTAGAAAAATTAAGTTTCCAAAGGCTAATGGACATAAGAATTCACAAATAATACTCACTTAATTCCTTTCCATGAAAACAGCCTTTCAGGGTTGAAAACTTTCTCAAATCGTTTTATTCTATATGTGTCCATCCTACATTCAATTGTAAAAAGACACATTTTTCAGAATAAGCCATTTAAAAACCTCTTAAGAGTTATCACGAACACACACACAAAAACCTTTCAGGATTTGAGCCCCCAACTAGCATTGTTAGTTCAGAGCTCCTGCTGGCCCCAGATTATCAAGGTGCAGCTCTCAGCTCCACTACTGACTGACCATGAGGTCTGTATGGCAAGAGACTTAGTGCCCAGGGCCTCCATTTTCCCACAGGTACAATGGGTAAAATAATTGGAGCATATAAAGATTAAATGAGTTAATGTATGAAAGTAAAGTGTTTAATGCAGGCTGGCACATAAGCGCAATATAGTTAGCTAGTAAGTCTAAATTATCTTGCTTTCCAATTCCCAAGAAAATAACTGGCCATTAAAACTAACTTTTAAGTTAGAATCACCAAGGGCATACACAAGTCACTCATTTAAGAGATTTGCTGAAGGTGTACTATGCACCAAGAAAATGCTGACTCTCATGAAGCTTACACTCCAGAGCTTACATCTTACACAAATTTCCTCCACACAGCCCAGGTAAAGCTTTCACCTCAATTGTTGTAGTTTCAAAATTGTAGTTAGCAAGAGCGCTTGTGTTGCAATACTTTGGAGAACTGCTTACTGGTAGTGGAAGCCAATGTCATGGTTCCCAGCAACCACCTTCAGCTGCACATGGGGCGGGTGCCTAAACATCTTCTGAAACCTCACCACATCATCCGCCCAGGCCTGCAAGATAAAAGGTCACTGCTGAGACCCAAGAACCTTCTCCTCCCTGTGCTCCATATTTGATGGTGAGAAGCTAATTCCCCTGTCCAAATTACATGTCCATAAAGCTAATATAGAACTTAAATTTTCTAATTTTATGTCAAACTTCTTTTGCTAAAACTAATATTTTAATTATTTAATTTGATGCCAAATTTTAATTAAATGCTATCCTCATCTTAACATATTAACTGGCAACACCCCCCCCCCAATATTTGGTTCATACAGCTGTTATTTCAAGATCCCCTAAAGACAACAAGTGGACCCCAGCTTGAAAATCACATCATCACAAATTATAACAGGCTCTTAGGTTTTCACAGAGTTCCAGCCATGATGGAGTCATACTTAGAAATGTTTCACTTCCTCACACAACCAAAAGAAAGATAATAACCAATTTAAAAACAATAAACAACCAGAACTGCCAGAATATCAAACTGCATGGAGCTCCGACAACCAAGAAGTTAAAGAAAACATTCATCCAGACCAGTAGGAGAGGCAGAGACATGGAGACCAGCAGCCCAGCCAGCGGAGAGAGAACCAAGGGGATAAGGAGGGGCTGACAGACAGGAAAACTAAAGACTCAAAGCCTCTAGCTGCAAAATACAGTGGTGGTTGTGAAGGCAGGAAAAAGACCCAGTCTCACAGGAAAGTTTGTTGGAAAGTGGGGCTAGAGCAGAACAAGAGAATGGCATTATTCCCTCTCTGACCCCTCCCCCACAGACAGTGCCACAACACAGCAAAGAGGGTTGCCCTGCCCCGGAGAATATCTAAGGCTCTGCCCCCTTACAACATAAAAGGTGCTCTGAGACAAAAATATATGGCCCAAATGAAAGAACAGATCAAAACTCCAGAAAAAGAGGTAAGCAACGAGGGGATAGGCAACCTATCTGATGCACATTTCAAAACACTGGTAATCAGGAAGCTCAGAATTCATTAAGCTCGGTCGCAAAATGAAGGAAGAAATGAAGGCTACACAAAGTGAAATACAGCAAAATATACAGGGAACCAAAAGTAAAAGGAAGGAAACTGGGACTCAAATCAACAATTTGGACCAAAAGGAAGAAATAAGCATCCAACTGGAACAGAAGGAAGAAACAAGAATTCAAAAAAATAAGGAGAGGCTTAGGAACTTCTGGGACAACTTTAAACATTCCAACATCCTAATCACAGGGGTGCCAGAAGGAGAAGAGGAAGAGCAGGAAATTGAAAACTTAATTTAAAAACATAATGGAGAACTTCCCCATTCTGATAAAGGAAATAGACTTCTAGGGAGTCCAGGAAGCTCAGAGAGTACCAAAGAAATTGGACCCAAGCAGGAACGCACCAAGACACATCATAATTAAGTTACCCAAGATTAAAGATAAGGAGAGAATCTCAAAAGCAGCAAGAGAAAAGGAGACAGTTAGCCTGTAGGTATCAGCTGATTTCTCAAAAGAAACCTTGCAGGCAAGAAGGGGCTGAAAGAAGTATTCAAAGTCATGAAAGGCAAGGACCTACACCCAAGATTACTCTCTCCAGCAAAGCTATCATTTAGAATGGCAGGGCAGATAAAGTGCTTCCCAGATAAGGTGAAATGTGAAAGGGACATATCTAAGAAATAGAAGAAGATCAAAAATATGAACAGTAAAATGATAACAAACTCATAACTATCAACAACTGAACCTAAAACACAAAACAAAAACTAGAACAGGAACAGAATCACAGAAATGGAGATCACATGGAGGGTCATCAGTGGGGAGCGGGAGAGGTAGAATGGGGGGAAGGTACAGGGAATAAGAAGCATAATACATAGGCATAAAATAGACAGGGGAGATTAAGAATAGTATAGGAAATGGAGAAGTGAAAAAACTTGTATGTACAACCAATGGATATGAACTAAGGGTCGGGGGAATACTGGAGCGGGGGGTGCAGGACGGACGGGATAAAGGGAAGAAAAAAATTGAGACAACTATAATAGCATAATCAATAAAATATACTTTTTAAGAAAAGAACAGGCACTTAGGAGGAAATGTCAAGTGAACTCATGTGTCTCCACCAAGATAAGGAAAAGAACAGCTTCAGCATTAGCATCTCCCTATGGCCACAACTGAGGAAGTGAAACCTGATGACAGTCGGGGGGAAAACAAAATCTAACTACTAAATCTTGAGGACTATGTTCATATAGTTCTTACTTTTATTAAGCTTAAAAACATCAATTAGATACTGTAGGGTAGACAATACTTAGCTGAATAATAACCAACTTCATCCTAAAAGTTTTAAGTTTAGCCCAACCTAGGAAAACATGCTGTGTAGAGAGTTCTTCAATACATTTACAAAAACTTCACTCTAACAAATAATATTTAAAGTTAGAATAATGTAAAACAGAATAGCATAAAATTAGAAACACACAAAATGTTGCCCTTAATTTGGAAAAGCAACATATATAGCAACATAAAATGAGATATCAAATCTCATTTTATAACTAGTTGCTTTTTACTTATAACATTCCATTATTTCATATTTAATTTTGAACCAGATTATAACAAACATTGCAACACTATAAACTCTGGGTTTCTATCATATCTAGACCAAGACTTTCTTTGTACAGCTTTTGGATTGTCCTGTAAAATACCAATGAATTTTTAATATTTTCCAAAAAATCATTAATGACTAAACATTTTTAAGAAGAAGAGCTCTTTTTTATTACTATTAATTCCAGAAATGTAATAAGCAAAGCATTGACCACTAAATTGAGAACAGCCTCTCTTTCCATCATATCAATCCAAGCAAAGGAACCTCACTCTAAGGCCAATGGCTTCTTCTGCACCTCTCCCTCAGAAGAAAAAAGATAAGATAGTAGCAAATAACTTATGTAGCACAATTCTTACAGTTTCGGGGTTAAATAAGAGTGTAAAGTCAAATTACATTTCAATGTGTATTTGGTAATTTAGGTGACAACTGAAATAGCATCCATCTTAGCAGTTTTCCCCTTTCTCAAGAGGTTCATGGGAATGTGCTTTCCAACAAAGTGATGTCTGGCTACACTACCTAGTTGCTACATAGGCAAATGTAAGATTAGTCAACCTAACTCAACATTGGCATTAGACACAGATTCTAATAATCTTCAAGACAGACTATACATTTTTAATATAGAGACTAAGCAAAAAACTTCCAACCCTAGCTGATATTGCTTCATGCATTTTATGGATTGCCTGTACAGGACCCTGAAAGCAGGACTAGGGTACCAGGATCAAAGGGTCCTACCTGAGAGGAGCTCCACTTCCCTTCATCAAAGATGTCCCCCAAAATGAAGACAACTTCCGGCTGCAACAACCACAGAGCTGTCTGGAAGGCTCTCTCCATTTGCCATTCTCTAAAGGCCATTAGGAAAAAGGTATCAGTCTGTTTATTGGGTGGAGCCTACATCTGTCTTATGGGCCATTTAAAAGGTGAACTAAATGGTACCGTTCTCCTCCCATGGCCCCACCCTCACATTCCCATCCACTCCTTGCAAGGGCCAAAGAATCCATATTTAATTAAACATGGGGAGCAAAGGTACAAAGGAGAGTCAGGCTGCCCCTCCCAATATCAAAGGCTGACTTCCCCTGTATGGTACCCATAGATACAGCCCCACACTGCACCACAATGCCATCACTCAGTCATGAGAGCCCCAGGGATCAGAGTTTAACACAGCTTCCAAAGCTGCCCAATGGAGACTGATTTTGTACCACACTGATGAGACAGCAGCATCTGGCTTAACTTTCACTTCTTCCTGAAGGAATCTCAACTTCTTGCCTTCAGAGTTGAGGAGAGACAATGAGAGAAACAAACTAGCCAATATCAAAACTGTAAATCCTGTAGACTTCAGACATACAAGTAATCAGCCTTCAGGTGAGACAAATAAAAAGAGCCTGAGATCTGGAAATCTGACAAGCAATGGCTCAACATCCCAGTTCTACACAATAACCAGTTGTGAAGTTTTGAGAATGCTGCCTACTCTGATTCCTAGTTTCTTCATTGGTAAATGAAGATAATAAAAACTTACTTTCACAGAATAGTTACAGGATTAAATGAGATAGCATTTGTAAAGTGCTGGCACACACAACGTATTCAAAAATGTCAATGCTTTCTCAACCTTCCTCCTTTCCTCCCTAACCAACTCTGATCTGTGTCATTTTCCTAAAACTCTTCAGTTCTTCCCTCCTTTTTAAAGCATATTTCTGGCTGCTTCCCCCCATCCCCTGCAAAAGAGAAATGTTCTATCCTGGGGCATATAAATGGGGGACAGTAATTTTTGGTCAGAGGGGACTTTTCAGGCCCAATGTAAATTGCTGCTTGGTACATCTTCACTAAAGATACCTTGCAAAATACATTTCTCAGGCTTTCTTGACTTGTTATTTGCACTGGAAGAAAGCATGTAGAAACAGCAGGAGCAACAGGACAGCAAAGACTGCTTGGGGTACAGCTCATAAATAAAGCACAATTTGTAAAATACAAATGAGCACAAGGGAGCTCAATCTCACCTTGGCCTTCTCCATGTCATGCCTATCCTGGTTTAAAACTATGAGTAGAAGAGTGTATCAGCCCCTCCATACACCCTTCTTTCATCTTATCTTCTTCATCCACCCCTGGGGGCATCATACATCTCCCCCTGCCACCTAACACAAGGTTCATTTACATCCAAAGCACTCTGAGGACATTCCTACTTGCAGGAATAGACTATAAAAGATGAACCTTGAAGACATTATGCTAAGTGAATTAAACCAGTCACAAGAGGACAATTACAATTACACTTACATAAAAATGTTTAAGATGGTAACTTTTATATTATGTGTGTTTCACCAAAATTAAATTTTTAAAAAGTCTTCAGTGGGAAAGCAGAAGGACTACGAAAGGCAGGTCTAAGCTGGAGAGACAGGAGCTGATCCTTTCCCCAGGAAGAAAGCCACAAATCTACTCTGCTCCCCCTGCCCAAAGTGGACAAAAACCAGGTGAGCTCAGAATTATACCAGTGACTGTGAGAGGTGTCCACCAACCTAACCCTGTGTCCACCCCTATCCAGGGGTAAGGGAAACATACCTTTGCCGACCACAGCCATGCGCTGGGCATTTCTGTGGGCACTTTCTTCAGGAGTTTCTCATATCAACCCAGTTACAAACAAGAAAGCAGAGAAAGGCTCACAGGGCCCTAGTAACTTGTCCAAAGTCATGAGACTCAAACCCAGACCTGCCTTCCAAATTCTGGGTCCTATCTATAAAGGATGCTCAGTGAATAGTAAATTGAAGGAAAAGTCAAATGTCCCATGTTTTTCTGTGAGAGGAAACAATGAGCACCCTGAAGCCATTAAGCCTGACCCATGGGGAGAGGACTCTACCTTTGTGCCTACAGAATTTCAGAATGATTCCTGATTTTAGCTCCTACCTTCGTAATTTGTCTAGCCAGTGGCCTCTTACTTCCCCAAGCAAGTGGGTATCAGCCAGAAACATGGCTTTCAGGACAGTTTCATGAGTCTCTTGTTCACTGTCGTAGGCTGAAGTTTTTACCTTAGGCCAATTACACTGAAAGATCACTAAGTAATAGATTAAAAATTCACAAAATAGAAGCACAGCAAAGACAACAGCTATGAGTTTCAACAGCAAGAAACTCCTCCTCTTTAACAGATAAAAATTCAGTCTTCCAAACCCCAATCTGATAGTAGCCATTTCTCCTGCTGAGGAGCTGCCAGCAACCAAGATTCAGATCCATCAAGAATTCACCAGGAGGAAAGAGGAATCCTGGGTAAGATGCAGATGCTGTTCAGGTCTTAGCCATGTACCTACAGAGAAAAGCAAAAGGTTTGGATTATGTTTCTCAATAATGTGATTATCACTAGCTCCCTTTGTTTAAGAACTAATGAGGTACAGAATTCTATCTACATTCCCAACAAAACAATTTGTCCTCTACTCTTACAATGATAATACCGTAGTGTGATTACCGACAAGGATCACAACTGGGTATGCCAGAATAATGTTCTTAGAATTCCTTCCCCCCTAAAATGATAAAATTTTATCACCACTTTGGAAATCATTAAATGAAAATGTATCAGATAGATGCTTTAGTAGACATAATAGGGAAAGTTAACAAATATTATTTGAGTATAATTTGACTCCTAAAAGGATTTTCTAACACCCTCCAGGGCCTTAAAAATTAATAGGTCATAAACCCTCTGTAATGTTTTGGTGTGGGTTCATTACTTTTCTATACTCTTTTCCACAAAAGAAGTGACTATTCAACACAGTGTGCGTCAGAGATCCAAGGAATACATTCCAATTTGGGCTCTGGCCTCTCGGCTCTGGGCTGAGGACAGGCTCTGTCAGAGCCATCTCTGAAAACAGCATTCAGGTATTTTGCCACGTAAAATATTCACCCACGTTTTTGTGCACATCATACATAGGATGATTATACCCATTGTATATAATCATTATACCCATGTATAATGAGCATCCTTATTTTTCCCTCAAAAATTTGGGCAAAAAATTGCGCATTATACATGGCAAAATAGGATATATATATATATTTTCACAATATGGGCTTTTCACCTGCCTATTAGCCTTAAAATTCTGGATGGCCTTCTGTAATAAGACATGTATGAACCATGGCTTTATGGGAACCTTTACAATGTTTATGGATTCATCTGAGTCATAGATGAACTGTGCATTGTATAAAGAAAGCATCTATTTTTTTCCTTTTAATTGAATTTATTGGGGTGATACTAGTTAACAAAATTATACAGGTTTCAGGTGCACAATTCCAAAATACATCATCTGTACACTGCATTGTGTGTTCACCACCCCAAGTCAAGCCTGAAAGCATCTATTTTTGACACCCCTAAAGAGAAAAGTTAAGAAAATGATGGCCTGAGACAGGATATAAGAGGTGACATTCTACTTAAGGTTCCTCAACTAATATTGCTCAAAACAAGAATCTTAAAATGACCGGTAACCTGTAGGCTATGAAGCACTCAGCTGTGGAAGCAGCTCCAGAAGTCTTGCAGAGCAAGGGGACTGGGAGAGACTCTAACCATAAATCCTAACTGAGCCATAAATAAAGGAAATCCTATTCTGCAAAGATGATTTTCTAAGATGAATCTAGGAATCTTCCTATGGTTGGTTGTTAGGCAAGGAAGGAGTCAGGAACACTCATTTTTGTAGCATCTAAAATAATCTCTGTGAAATGAAGTTTTATGAACTGTTCACACTTGCACATAAGCCCCAGCCTCTATAAAGCCCTTTGCTTTTTTCATGGTGATGTTGTATAATAAGTGAGCACTACATTTGGGAAAAATTTAAAACCTTACCCAAGAAAAATAAATAGGGGCAAACATATTTTGAGCTATGACCAAAATGTAAAACATAGCCCCAGAATTGAAAATACCTTCAGAAACAGACAAAATGAGGACATCACTTTGGGATTATTCAAATAGAGCACTGATAGTTGTTCTGCTGTGTTAGGAAATACTGTAGTCACTCCCATTTGTGGCTTTTCAGAACAGATGAAATGATACTACAGGAGTAAAATGAAGGGTCTGTGCCTCAAGTGTTCATCATGCCTCAGTTTGCATTTGAATGGCATCAAATATAGTAAGCACTGGTCTATTACAGAGGGAATAGTGCACAAGTGCTAGATTTTAAATATGACCTGTCAGAGAGGTCAGGAGCACCTGTGAATGTAACCTGGGATCACTGCTCTCACTGGAACTCCAGTCAGAAAATCCACAGTGTCTTTATCAACTAGGTCCAGACCATCAGTGATCATATGCCATACCTTGTGTTCTCTACCTAGAACCACCTCACCACCTCTGTTGTCTCTAAGGTTGAACCACATGTGCCGCATAACTATAGTCAACACGTACTTTATCTTCCAACTGGGGACACCTTTAAGAGTAAAAAGTGGCATTAATGCAAATAAAAACAGGACCACAGTATAAATTAAGATTGTTCCAGGCAGCTTAGGATGTGTAGGCATCCTGTGGATCATTCTATCCTATAAGCCTTGTACTTAATGATGTAGACGAGGAGAAAGTCATCCATCTACGCACAAACTTTGGAATGATTGAACAAATGTTAGTAACATTCTCTAGTCTAAGGGCATAAATTCTCTATTTGGCTGATATTCATAAGAGAGACTCTAAGGAATAATGGATATATTATTTAATACCACCTAATTTCCTTTGTTTTGATTCAATAAAATACCTGAAAAGCAATCATTTGATCTTACTATTTAATTTTCTTTCAAAAGGCACACTGCAAGGCTATCATGCCAGGCAACATTCAAAGTCACACATCAGGTAATACGATACTCTGCCCTGATGGTTGCTTCCAGATGGGTATGAAGTGACCATCTCCTTGTGCTTACCCTTAAGACAACCTCAGAGCAGAGCTGTTTCCTCATTTTCCAACACAGCTAAAGGAAACCTGCTGGACACAAGCCATTAGGAGCACTGAAGACTTTCCTACCCCCAGGGAAGGTAGATATGAGCCTGCCTTCCTTGGAAGGAAAGTAGAAAACCTAAGAGCAGCCACTTGTTCCTCTTCCAGTATTTTATCCTGTGTCAGAGAGAGAATCTAAAGAGAGAGAGAAAGAGAATGAATTTGTGTTGAATTGGAAAGAACCCAACCTGTAGCTCTGCTCTGTGACCTTGAGCAAGCCATAGACTATTCCTGAGCCTTAAAAATAAGGATCACAGTACCTAATCCCACTAATGTTGTGAAAATTGATAGAAATGATGTTCACAACAGTATTTTAGCCCTGGCCAGGCAGCTCAGTTAGTTAAATATACCAAGGTTGTGGGTTTGATCCCTGATCAGGGCACATACAAGATGCAACCAATGAATGCATAAATAAGTGGAACAACAAAAGCAATGTTTCTTTCTCTCTCTTTATCTTTTTCTCTCTCTCCATCCACCCTTCCTATCTCTAAAATCAATAATTTTCTTTAAAAATGAAAATATTTTTTAAAGTAAATCTTTCTAGAAGGCAGGTATGTCAGGATTAGATTATAGAATAAAATTTATAATCTGAATAATTCCAACAAACTCAATACAATAATTCAAACAGCATTAATCAGGATAAAGGGAATGAAGACCAGCAGAGAACAAATGCCAATAATTGGAAGAAATCTATAAGCTGTGGCCATCATAGGCTGAACCTGGTTTTCTCCACTCATTTACTGACATGCACTTTCTAATGCTTCACATCTGAAGTCCCCATATACTTTCCTCACTAAAAGTAAACCTTAAATTTTATTTCAGTCATAATAAAAAGGCCAATGATTTAAAATCGTCACTGCCGTGCAGCCTAAATAACTAAATGCTACTATTATCTTTTGCCCAGGCTCTTTTACAAGTTAATGCAGAGAAAATGTGTTGTCCTAAACTAAATGAAAGGAGGGTCTGCTCCTTCATCAGAGCAGTATGATTACTACACCCAGGCCCAATGCAACCACCTCTGCCTGCCTTATTAATAACTACAGGGGAGAAGAATGTGTTATCCATCTTGTATCACTAGACTGTAAAACCAGGAAATGGGAAGTTTGAATAAAAACTATATTCTGTATGTTGCTTTCTTGTAAGTGCCGAATAATTCTGTCCATATTAGAAGTTTTCCTTTGCACAAGCCAGTTTGAGTTTAAAAAGCAAAATTAAGTGGATCTGCTCATGTACTGATACACTAAGGATTTGGAGAAAGCAGCCCAGGAGTTCTAGCCACAATGGAGACATATGTAGAAATGCTTCACCTCCTCGCACAACCAAAAGAAGAACAGCAACAAATTTAAAAACAAAACACAACCAGAACTGTCAGATATTCAAACTTCATGAAAGTCTGACAACCAAGGAGTTAAAGAAACATTCATCCAAACTGGTAGGAGGGGCAGAGACAAGCAACCAAGGTGGAGAGGACCCACTGCCAAGGAGGTGACTGGTAGATGAGCTGGTCCCACATTCATGGGTCAATAAGCTGGGAAGAACCATTGGGAAGCAAGACAGACCACAGAACCCGGGGTTTCAGTGTGGGAAACTAAAGACTCAAAACCTCTGGATGTAAAAATCTGCAGGAGTTGTAGCAATGGGAGAAACTCTCAGGATCACGAGAGAGCCCATGGGAGAGGCCCACAGGGCCCTAGAACACACATGAACCCACCCATCTGCGAATCAGCATCTGAGAGGCCACAATCCGCTTGTAGGAAGTGAGGGCAGTGACAGAAAGTGGGGTTAGAGCAGAACCAGTAAGTGGCATTTTCCCCCCTCTGACCACTCTTCCACAGACAGTGCCACAACACAGCAAAAAACATTGCCCTGCCCTGGTGAATACCTAAAGTTCCACCCCATACAACAGAGCAAGTGTGCCAAGACAAATGAAATATGAAATGATATATGAAATACAATGACAAATGAAATGATATATGGCCCAAATGAAAGAACAAATCAAAATTCCAGAAAAAAAGGTAAGCAAGCAAGAGATCGACAACCTATCTGATGCACAGTCCAAAACACTGGTAACCAGGATACTCACAGAAATGACTGAATATGGTCGCAAAATGAAGGAAGAAATGAAGGCTATACAAAGTGAAATAAAGAAAAATATAGAAGGAAACAAAAGTGAACAGAAGGAAACTGGGACTCAAATCAACAATTTGGAACAAAATGAAAAAATAAACATCCAACCAGAACACAATGAAGAAACAAGAATTCAAAAAAATGAGGAAAGGCTGAGAAAGCTCTGGGTCAACTTTAAATGCTCCAACACCCAAATGATAGGGGTGCCAGAAGGGGAAGAGGAAGAGCAAGAAATTGAAAACTTATTTGAACAAGTAATGAAAGAAAACTTACCCAATCTGGTAAAAGAAATAGACTTCCAGGAAGTCCAGGAAGCTCAGAGAGTCCCATAGACACTGGACCCAAGCAGGAACACACCAAGACACATCATAATTAAGCTACCCCAGATTAAAGATAAGGAGAGAATCTTAAAAGCAGGAAGAGAAAAGGAGACAGTTACCTACAAAGGAGTTCCCATAAGACTATCAGCTTTCTCAAAAGAAACTGATCCCTTCTTGCCTGCAAGATTGCCTGCAAGTATTTGAAGTCATGAAAGGCAAGGACCTATATCCAAGATTGCTCTATCCAGCAAAGCTTTCATTTAGAATGGAAGGGCAGATAAAGTGCTTACCAGATAAGGTCAAGTTCAAGGAGTTTATTATCACCAAGTCCTTATTATATAAAATGTTAAAGAGAATTATCTAAGAAATAGAACATGATCAAAGTTATGAACGTAAAATGACAACAAACTCATAACTATCAACAACTGAACCTAAAACACAAAACAAAAACTAAGCAAACAACTAGAACAGGAACAGAATCACAGAAATGGAGATCACATGGAGGGTTGTCAGTGGGGAGTGGGAGAATGGGGGAGGGGTATAGGGAATAAGAAGCATAATAGGCAGGCACAAAATAGTCAGGGGGAGATTAAAAATAGTATAGGAAATGGAGAAGCCAAAGAACTTATATATAACCAATGGACATGAACTAAGTGGTAACAATAAAAAAAATTTTTAAAGCAAAATTACTAAAATGCTATTGTTTCGCCCTGGCTGGCATAGTTCAGTGGATTGAGTGTGGGCTGTGAACCAAAGCATCGCAGGTTCAATTCCCAGTCAGGGCACATGCCTGGGTTGCAGGCCACAGCCCCCAGCAGCTGCACATTGATGTTTCTCTCTCTCTCTCTCTCTCTCTCTCTCTCTCTCTCTCTCTCTCTCTCTCTCTCTTTCTCCCTCCCTTCCCTCTCTAAAATTAAATAAATAAAATCTTTTTAAAAATCTTAAAAAAAATGCTATTGTTTCCACTCCCCAGTTCAATTTGCCAGTATTAGTAAACTCATCAAATGATAACACAGCAGGAAAACTATACAGGCCTCCCAACCACAGTTCTGGCCTAGAATCAAAAGGCAGACACCACCCCTCCTTACTTGTCAGTAAGGAAACTAGATTCTATGTTAAAGGTCCTGAAAGACCCCTGGTAAGAAACTAAAATGCTGAATCTGCGGTATTTTTAGTTCTACCACATTCACACTTTTTATTCCTAACATCACAGGTAATGACTCTAAAAAAGCAGCTTAGGCCCTAGCTGGTGTGGCTCAGAGGACTGAGCATCTTCCAGCAACCCAAAAGGTCTCCAGTTTGATTCCTGGTCAGGGCACATGCCTGGGTTGTGGGCCAGGCCCCTGGTTGGAGCCATGCAAGAACAACCACATACTGATGTTTCTCTCCCTCTCTTTTTCCCTCCCTTCCCCTCTCTCTAAAAATAAGTAAATAAAATCTTAAAAAAAAAAAAGCTTAATAATACCTACTATCCCAGAATTTTTCCAGAAGCTAAAATTAACCCATCACTAGTTTATAAAATTAGCTTGGTGGTTTGTGACCAGAATTTTAAAAAATAAAACAACAGAAAATACTAACCTATACTACATAAAGGCAAGGCATAGCAAAGTTTACTTCACAAAACTTTTGTCTCCATTTTTATGTACATGTATCTGTGTGTACTGGTCATGATATACAATGCATTTCTTATTGCACTAGGCTCTAAGCTCCCGCAAACAGGGACTTTGCCCTGCTTACCTCCATATCCCCCCTCCTATCTGGTACCTGCAAACAATAGGTGCCCAATAAATGTCTGTAGCAACAACAGCTTATATTTAGTCTTACTTCCCCAAACATTTTAGAACTATACCATATTACTGCTCTTTTGGTACATCATCTGCTTTTAAATGCTTAACAGTCTACATATATCACAGGAACAGGAAGAAATATAGAAGTTGTTCCTATTTCCTTTGATCAAAGGACCAGGCAGAAATTGAAAGACTGGCAAACAGATACACAGAACACACGTCTCACCAGCCCTATGTTGGACTCATACAAAAGAAACACTAGAATAGCTCTCTGGTGAATAGAGAAGTAGTGACAATCTTCCCTGAACCTCTTTGAGAAAACAGCTTTCTTCTAAAAGGGAAGTACACAAAAATGCTTGGTAGCTCCTGAATACTCCCCTAGACTCCAGGCTATGTAATCCAGGCAGCTGGAGACATCTCTGTCCTAGCTATGTTATTTCCCAGTGTATGGTCTCAGACAAATCACTCAAGGAAAAAAAAAAAAAAGATGGGAAAAGACAGGGCAGGGCAATTACTAACAACAAAAAAAGGAAAAGAAAAAAACAGAAAATAACAAGTGGTGGCAAAGACATGAAGAAACTGGAACTCTTGTGCATTGCTGGTGGGAAAAACAGTATGGTGGTTCCTCAAAAAATTAAAAGAATTACCATATGATCAAGCAATTTCACTTCTAGATATCTACTCAATTGAAATCAGGGACTCATACAGACATTTGTACACACATGATCATAGCAGCATTATTCACAACAGCTAAAACATGGGGAAAAGGAAATGTTTGTCAATGGATGAAGAGGAAAAAAATGTTATATATATATATATATATGATAGAATATTATTCAGCCCTTTAAAAAGAAAAAAATTGACACATGCTACAGCATGGATGAACCTTGAGGACATATGCTTAGTGAAATAAGCCAGTCACAAAAAGACAAATACTGTATGATTCCATCTATGAGTTGGAATCAAATTCCCTACTGTAGGTGTCCCTAGTATAGTCAAATTCATAGAAACAGAGAATGGAATGATGGTTGCAAGGGGCTGGGGAAGGAAAAATAGGTGATGATAGTTTCATGTGCATAGTTTGTTTTGCAAGACAGAAAAGCTCTAGAGATTAGCTGGAAATGTGAATATATTCAACTCTAAACTATACACTTAAAAGTGAATAATACAGTTGAAGAGAACAAGAGGACTAGCCTCAGACTGGGAGAAAATATTTGCAAAAGACACATCTAATAAAGGACTGTTATCCAACATATACAAAGATATCTTAAACCTCAATAAGAAAACTGATCTAAAAGTATCATTAAAAATTGGCAAGATGGCCCTGGCTGGTGTAGCTCAGTGGATTGAGTGCGGGCTGCGAACCAAAGTGTTGCAGGTTCGATTCCCAATCAGGGTACATGCCTGGGTTGCAGGCCATGACCCCCAGCAACCGCACATTGATGTTTCTCTCTCTCTTTCTCCCTCCCTTCCCTCTCTAAAAATAAATAAATAAAATCTTTTTAAAAATGGCAAGATGGTTTTATGTGTATTTACCATAATATTTTTAAAATTTAAAGTAATGAAATTCTAATACATGTTACAGAATGGATGAAATCTTGGGGACATTATACTAATTGAAATAGCCAGTCACAGGATGACAAATACTATGAGGATTCCACTTACTGAAGAAACTAGAGTAGTCAAAATCCTAGAGACAAAAGTAGAACAGTGGATGTCAGCAGCTGGGGGTAATGGGATGGGGAGTTATTTCATGGATATGGAATGTCAGTTTGGGAAGATGAAAAAGTTCTGGAAATGGATATTGGTGATAGTCGTAGAATAATGTGGATGTATTTAATGACACTGAACTGTACACTTAAAAATGGTTAGAATGGTAAATTTTATGTTATGTAGGGTTTGCCACAATTTTTTAAAAAGAAATATAAACACACAGAGAGAACCATACAAGCTAGCAATATCCTGTATCAAGGTCTTTCAGAACTAAATCCATCACTTTTAAATTTTGTTTTAAAAAGTCTTAGGAGCCTAGGTTTAGGGGTATATCACTGAGTCACCTTCTCCCCTTTTAAAGAACAGAACTAGTAGATGAGACTGTGTTAAGTGTGAAAGCTGTAAGTTGGCTTGTACTCCCCCAAATCAGAGCAACTTTACCTGAAATAAAACCAAAAATGTGAGTTTTGTTGCTAAATAATCTTTCACTCAGTCAGCTGTCTAATAAAGTGGAGAATACATCACTTCTTAAAAGGCACATGGCTGTTGTTCTGTGCCACACAGATACAGAACCTCACCAATAATAAAAATAAAGAAGCAGCAGCAGCTGAGAACCACAGGGCTAAAGAAAAATGACTGACATTATGCTGTTATTCAAGAATGGGTCTTTTAAATTATAGTATAAAATATATATACAAGGCACATATACAGCATTGTTCTACTTTGCCAACACATGAGAATAGTAGCTGCAATCCATAATAGGGAGCAAAATAATTTATCTATTGTCTAATTTTTATCTTAAAAGCATTTGAATATCTAAATTCCCACCCCCAAAAAAGAGCATTAAAAAAGGCTTACTATACACTGACCTGTAATTTTTTTCTTACTTGCTCATTATCTTAAATATATTACCACAATGTCAATGGCTATCTGTGGTTAAAATTTTCATCTTAAATGGTATTTTAAATTAGATGTTTTTCAATCTACATCAGTAAACTAGGAAGTGAGAAACACCTACAATTTAATAACATGGGTCTTAAGTAATAGTGATTTTCTAGCAAATAAATAATTAATATCCAAAATACTGTTTTTTGATACATTAACTTGCGATCTTAAAAGGGCAACGAGTTACCAGTTTTCCGTGACAAGAAAGAGTAAATAACCTAGAAACACAAATATTATAGCACAGTTACAATGATACATGTAAAATCCTACTTGCACTGGGCGGCTCAGCACGACACAGAACAGATCCGAAACCACAGCACCCCCTGCAAGGGCCCCAACAAGTTACACGCCCTCCGAACACGGTCCAGCAGCCTTGCAGCTTCCTGTTTCCGCACGGACCGGCAAAGCGTAGTCCCCTTGAAACCCCGCCCCACGACCTCAAGTCTGGCAGAAAATCCCGGAGTCCGGGAGAAAGGCAAGGGGAGCGTTTGGAGGAAAAGTCAGTTGGGCTCACCAAAGCCGTTAGGACAAAAGATCGCCTTCGTCCAGGCGAGGGGGGGGCGGGCTCAGGGCTATCACGGGCTAGGTTCCCCGGCCTCCTTGCAAGGCAAGTGGAGCGTGGCTTGAGTAATCGCTTTTTTAAAAAAATTTATTTGTACTTTTTCAATCATCATTCAGTCCTCTTATATCCCCTCCCCCAGTAAGCACCACACTGTAGTCCACGTCCATGAGTCTTTTTTTCCTTTTTGTTTAATCCCTCCACCATCTAACATCTCCAGCCCACTAGTAATCACTTCTTCAAGCAAGACCTTCCCCTCCCCCGCACGCGCCGCCTCCCGGTAGGGAGGCGGGCTTCCGCTGTGCACTGTTGAGCTGCCTTCCGGCATTCCTTTGGAGCTCCAACAGGCGGCTCGGCATCCCCTGGAAGACCGCGGGCCTGAGGGGCATCCGGCAGAGGATGAGCGGGTTGGGGAAAGCAGCTAGCTCCAGAAAGCGAACTGCTCTGGCCTCACTGTTGCGTTGTCCTTGGAGTTGATGACTTGCTCCTTTTCCCTTCCAGCCTCTAGATTGCGCTCCTGGAGGACTGACACATGAAGTGCCTTCAAGAAAAGTGTGATGAATAAAGGAGGTGACAGTCAGAATGACTATTTATTATGGGTTTTCTTTCCTTTTTCTTTTAACTCACTCTACTGTTGTAACAGTGTAGCATAGCGTGGTCGACTTTTCAAAGTTTTTTCTTTTGTCTCAATCCTCAAAATAAAGCTATAAATCAGCAGGAATCATTATCCCGTGTTACAAGAAATGTCATGAAGCTCAGAGCAGTAATTCAGAATTCCAACCAACCAATTCTGGTATGTTTTCACAAATCTATGAATATAGTTAATGTCATATGAGAAAACCATATAGAAAGCAACCAGCAAAACACCTGGTATATGGTGAGTAAGCAGTAAAGATTAATTATTATTATTATGAATTGGGGATATTGTCATATTTTAAAATATGTCCAGGTGAACAATTTTAACATCACCAACACTGGGAGAACCAGACTTTATGTGCACACTGACATACAATAGGAAGTATATGCAGCATCACTTGTAAAGTATTCTCACAAATTAAAAAAAAAATGTACATCCATTTAAGCCTATAATTAACTACAAACTTAAGGAAATGTAGGAACCAAATGAACACGTTCTATTACACCACCAAAAAGCAATGAGCCAAATCCAGAATGTGGGAAATTCTATAGACCAAATGACCCAATTTCTTTTTTCAACAAATAACATCAGAAACAAAAGGAGGGGGATAAGAGGGAGATCTGCTGTAATGCAGGCTGGAGAGACATACTAACCAAATGCAGTTTGTGGGCCTTGTTTGGGTCATAATTAAGATAAACTAGTTTTTTTTTTAAACCCATTTTAAAAAAGGTTGGGAAACTTGGATGTGGGGGGGATACTATACACCAATGAATGATTGGTAATTTTGCTATAAAAATGATACTGTGGTCATGGGTGTTTTTTTGAGATTAGAAAAATATACTAAAAGTATTTACAGGCAAATTATATGATTTCTGGAATTAGTTTTCATACTCCAGAAAACAGTAAGGAAGTAGGATAAGAAACAATACTGACAAAATGTTGACAACGTTGAAGCAAAAAGTTGGATGCATGGCATAGTGGTTGGCAGAATAATGGCCCCCCAAACATGTCCACATCCTAATCTCTGTACCTGTGGATTTGTTACTTTAAATGGAAAAAGGGACTTCACAGATGTGATTAAAGTTCAGGATCTTGAGATGAAGAAATTATTCTGGATTACCCCAGTGGATCCAATTTAATTACCTGCGTCCTTACCAGTTGAGAAACTTTCCCAGCTCTATTGGAGTCAGAGGAAGATCTAACAACAGAAGGAGGGTGTTGCCCTGGCTGGCATAGCTCAGTGGATTGAGCGCGGGCTGGGAACCAAAGTGTCCCAGGTTCGATTCCCAGCCAGGGTACATTCCTGGGTTGCAGGCCATAGCTCCCAGCAACCGCACATTGATCTCTCTCTCTCTCTCCCACTTCCTCCCTTCTCTCCCTAAAAATAAATAAATAAAATACTAAAAAAAAAAAAAAGAAGGAGGGTGTCTTACTTTATTCAGTCTCTATAACAAAACACTGTACACTGAGTGGCTTATAAACAATAGAACTTTCTTGAAGTTGTGGAGTCTGGAAGTCCAAGATCAGGGCTGCATTCTGGTGAGAGCCCTCTTCCTATTGCATAGCTTGGATCTTCTCACTGTGTCTTTACTGTCTCACTGTGATAGAAGGGAGAGGGACTGCTATGGGGCCTCTTTTATAAGAGAACTAAGAGGGTTCCACCCTTAATAACTTAAGCACTTCCCAAAGATGCCACCTCCAAATAACCTAACTTCCAGCATTAGGATTTTAACATGAATTTGGGGGGGACATAAACATTCAGCCCACAAAGAGATGCAGTCTCACAGGACTCCATCATGTTACTTACTTTGAAGATGAACAGGGCACAAGCTAAGGAATGTGGGTAAGTGGCCCATAGAAGCAAGGAAATGGATTCTCTTATAGAACCACCTAGATTTTAGCTCAATGAGACCCAAGTCTGACTATTGACCTACAGAACAGTAAGATACATTTGTATTATTTTAAGTCACTGATAAGCAGCAATAAGAAACCAATAGAAGCATCCATTACATTTCCCTCTACTTTGTGTATGGTTAAAATTTTTTGTAATGTTTAAGTCCACAAAACATAGACCCACCTAAGAAACACATTTTTAAAGTACTTCATCTATACCTGAAGCATTTTCATTTGAGAAAGAATTATATATGATTCTCTTTTTAAACTTATGAGTATAATTAATATAATAGTATTTACAGTATTTTCAAAACCACAGATATAACAGCATGATACAACCTATTTTTAACTTTAGAATTGGCTTATCTAGGCTAATTTCTATCAAACTCTTTATACTGAGATGCCTTCAAGAATGAAACATTTATTAAAGTTATTTTCCTACTAACATTAATTTCAAGAAATAGATAAAACAATGAGTAAACAAAATGTATAAAACAGATTTTTTTAAGAATACAAAAGTCTCCCAAAATATGTGCATGTAGTATTGATTAAAATAGTTCCCAATATTTTACTGTAATTTCAAATTGCAAATAAAGTATGTTAGCATTTTCTATGATAGTAATGTTATCCACATTTTGTCAAATTTGCTGAAACAAGATCTGTTAAAGAAAGTCCATATTTTGAACTAATTTTATTAGTTGATTTTTTAAATATATTTTATTGATTATGCTATTACAGTTGTCCCATTTCCCCCCTGCACTCCCCTCCACCCTGTACACCCTCTCCCACCCACTTCCCCCACTTTAGTTCATGTCCATGTGCCATGCTTATAAGTTCTTTAGTTTCTACATTTCCCATACTATTCTTACCCTTCCCCTGTCTATTTTCTACCTACAACCTATGCTAGTTATTCTCTGTACCTTTTCCCCTCTCTCCTCCTCCCAATCCCCTGTTGCTAACCCTCCATGTGATCTCCATTTCTGTCATTCTGTTCCTGTTGTAGTTGTTTGCTTAGTTTCTTTTGGTTTTGCTTTCCATGTGGTTGTTAATAATTGTAAGTTTGCTGTCCTTTTACTATACATGTTTTTTTTTATCTTCTTTTCTTAGATAAGTCCCTTTAACATTTCATAAAATGAGGGCATGGTGATGATGAACTCCTTTAACTTGACCTTATCTGAGAAGCACTTGATCTGCCCTTCCATTCTAAATGAAAGCTTTGCTGGATAGAGTAATCTGGGATATAGGTCCTTGTCTTTCATGACTTGGAATATTTCTTTCCAGCCCCTTCTTGCCTGTAAGGTCCCTTTTGAGAAATCAGCTGACAGTCTGATGGGAACTCCTTTGGAGGTTACTGTCCCCTTATCTCTTGCTGCTTCTAGGATTCTCTCCTTCATTTTTACCTTGGCTAATGTAATTATGATGTGCCTTGGTGTGTTTCTTGGGTCCAACTTCTTTGGGACTCTCTGAGCTTCCTGGACTTCCTGGAAGTCTATTTCCTTTGCCAGAATGGGGAAGTTCTCCTTTATTATTTGTTCAAATATGTTTTCAATCTGTTGTTCTACCTCTTCCCCTTCTGGTACCCCTATAATTTGGATGCTGGAACGTTTAAAGACGTCCTGGAGGTTCCTAAGCTTCTCCTTGTTTTTTTTTGAATTCTTGTTGTTTCATTATTTTCTGTTTGGTTGTTTCTTTCTTCCTTCTGGTCCACTCTATTGTTTTGAGTCCCAGTTTCCTTCCCATCTCTATTGGTTCCCTATGCATTTTCCTTCTTTTATGGTAACCTGTATTTGTTCATCTAATTTGCGACCAAAATCAACCAATTCTGTGAACTTCCTGATCACCAGTGTTTTGAACTGTGCCTCTGATAGGTTAGCTATCTCTTGGTGGCTCAAAAGGATGAGTTCTGGGGCACTGATTTGTTCTTCTGTTTGAGTCATCTCTCTCTCTCTCTCTCTTTTTTGAGGGGGAGGGGGTCTGGTCGCTCCTGTTACAGCGAGGAGCGGAGCCTTAGGTGTTCACCAGGGCTGGGCACCCCAGTCGCTAGATTGTGATGTTGTATGTGAGGGCGGGGTTGAGAGGGAACAATGGCGGTAGCTCCGTTCTCCTGGGACCTCAGTCCCTTCCTTGGGATCCTGGGTTGCGTGCTCTGCCCTGGTCCACAATCACCGCCTCACTGGGTCTGTCAGCTGCCGCTTGCGTACTCAGGGTCCACCTGCTGCAATCTTGTGCGCCCCAGATGCTTTACATGCTCCCGGTTGCCTTATGTGCCCAACTCTCCCTGTTCTCTGTGCCACGACCCGCGCTTGGCTGC